GTGGAAGAGACTGGCCCAGTGAACAGCAGTCTGCAAGCAGACTCCTGGCCTTCAGGCACAACACAATCCAGGCACGCAGCCAGGCCTTGGGGCCCTCCTTGCCTGCCTGTGGCAGAGGCTCCCCATGTGGTAGCTCCTCCTCTTCCTCTGTCTGGTGAGGGGAAGGGTTATGTGGCCCCTGCTTTCCAGCTTTGCACCACTGGGCACGAGAGACGACACCACCAAGACTTGGAAAGGTTTCCCTCCAGTTTCACATGGGGGTACACCAGCGGCTCGCCAGGGAGACACAGAGTGCCAGCATGGAGGCAGGGGCCGGCGGCAGGCAGCACAAGGCAGAAGCCTCCTGGGGCCAGGGCTGGACCACATTAAGCTGGCGTAAGCGCAGGCCTTGTCAGTGGTGGTCTGAGCGCAGGGTCAGGGTGGGGGCACAGCTGCCCTGGGTGCCGTGCTTGGAGCTCCAGGCCCAAGCGCAGGGCTGGCGGGAGGAGCCAGGCAGGGTCAGCCAGGCAGCCCGAGGCTCTGCTTCTCCCCGTGTCCCGCTCTGGAACTGGATGGTGGGGCAGAGGGGTGGGGCCGCCCGGGCCCTCGTCCACCCCCACGCTGTCTTTAGAGCAGGGGTGGCACGGCCTAAGTCCTTAGTGACTGTGGGCAGCCAGGGCTCCCTCCCACCTGGCCCTCAGCCCACTTCCTGCCAGCCAGCGGGCAGGCACCTTGCAGCGCAATGCTGTCCCCAGCTTCCGCCTCCCCTGTGTTGCCAAGCCTCAGGCTGGGCCAGGGACACACAGCAGGGCTCAGTGAGGTGGCGGGGACAGGGCCAGAGGCAGACTGGCCAGGCTTTGGAGTTCTGCACCCTTAGACTGCTTTGCTCCCCTGCCTGGCGTCACCCAAATACCCGGCATGCTCAGGCAGGGGTCCCTGGCCCAGGCAGTGTGGACACACACCCAGGCCGCACCCCTGCCACCCAGCCCCTCTGCACACCGAGAAGGGCCAAGGGGGCGCAGCCCGCTGGGGAGGGGCCCTGCTGTTCTGGGACGGGGCTCCCTGAAGAGAGCACCCAGGGACTCTGCTCCGCGGCACCATCCAGGCAAACAGCTCACCCCTGCGGCGCAGCCGGTAGGCCGGGCAGCCTGTCCCCGTCCCTGTGCATCCAGCCCCAAGGGACTGCAGGGCTACTGAGAACACAGCCTCCCAGCCAGCCCAGCAGGAGCAGCCCCTTCTCCTCGCCTAGCACCCTGGTCACTGTGCTCATCGCCCAGGAGCCAGGCGGGACAGCCACTCCCAGAAAGACCCTCACACTGGCCTGGAGTACCGACATCCCCACCCCAGGCGGCTCAGCCTGGCAGAGGCCCTAAGGCACCCACATGGCCCTAATGGGGTAGGGGATGCTCCCAAGTATGCCCAGTGACTCAATGGTCCCCCACCTGGGCACTGCCCCATCACTACTTTTGTTATTTTGTTCAGAGAGATGGAGATTGACCCCAGGGCCTTTGCATGAGCTACATCCCATCCCCAGCCTGTTTTTTATCTTCAGACACAGGTCTCACTAAGTTGTCTAAGCTGGGCTGGCCTTGAGTTTACAATCCTCGTGCCTCAGTCTCCCGAGTACAGCCTCAGCCATTCTAATTTGCACGATTCAGTGGTGTTTGGTGTGTCCACGCTGCCTGCAGCTGGCCCCACTGTCCAGCTCCGGAACATTCCCAGCACCCCATGCAAACGCTGCACAGCCCCTGGGCACCAGCATGCTGCTTCCGTCTCCCGGGGCTGCCCACCCAGGAGTTCCGGGCGGCACCATCCGCACTCTGTCCTCAGCAGTGGCAGGGCTGGGGCTCACACCAACCCTGCGAGCCCACAGAGGCCCGCTGGCCCGCACCTGGGGCGGAGCCACCCTCTGTGCCCCTAGGCCCGGGCAGGGCCTCCACGCTCACCAGTGAGTGCCGCGCCTTCGGCCTCTTTCTTGTGCTGTCCCGCGGTGGGGCAGTGGTACCGCGGTGCATTCGACTTGTCCAGTGTTGATTAGCGCCCGCTCTCGCGGTGGGTTCGACTTGTCCAGTGTTGATTAGCGCCCGCTCCTGTGCGGTTCCGCGGTCACGCGGGGCGGGGGGCGGTGCCAGCCTAGAGGCATCGCAGCTTCTACTTCCCCTGCCCGCCCTTCATCTCTCCGTTCCTTCCCATCTGCAGAAGGTCTACCTCACCGTTTCCTGTCTTTTATCTTGCTCTGTAGTTGATTAAATTTCGGCTTTCTTATATAAGAGAAACTGGGTGATATTGGATCTTGTGTGTCTGATTTACTGCACTTCATAGTATGGTCCCAAGGAGCATCCATTTTCCTACAAATAACTCAAATTCATCTTTTTTCATGGCAAAGTAGTACTCCATTGTGTGTAAATGCCACATTTTATTTACCCATTCATCTGGTGATGGAGATGTAGGCAGCTTCTGAGATTTAGCTATTAGGAATTGTGCTGCTATAAATGCAGATCACTATAATATGATGACTTTAACTCTTTCAGGAAGATACCAAGAAGGGGAATATCTGGGCCAGGTGCAATTTCTATTTGAAGCTTTTTTTTTTTTGGTACTGGGGGTCGAACTCAGGACCCTGTGTCTGCAAGCCAGGCAGCAGAACCACTGAGCCAAACCCCTGACCCCTTTTTGTTTTTTCAAATTTATTTATTTATTTATTTATTGGTACCGGGGATTGAACTCAGGACCTTGCTCTTGTGAGGCAGGTACGGTGCCACTAAGCTAAATCCCAGGCCACTGTTTGAAGTTTTTTAAGGAATGGCCATACTGATTTCTGTAGTGGTGGCACCAGTTTACACCCTCGTGGTGGCTGTAACTTGCTCTTCCATCTTTTCATGTGCTTGTTGGCATCTGCATGTCTTCTTTGGAGAAATGTCCCTTCGTGTCCCTTGCCTGTTTTTGTCATCGGGTTGTAAGAGGTCCTTGTAGGGCTGGGGATTTAGGTCAGTGGTTCCATCGCCTGCCTTGGAAGCACAAGGTCCTGAGTTTGATCCCCGGTACCCGCCCCCTCAAAAAAGAACTCCTTGTAGCTACAGGTACCATGCTCTCACCAATACAGGATCGCAGCATTTCCTCCGCTGGTCGCCTCTCTCTCTCTATCTCCTGGAGTCCGTTCTCTTGGCAGTCTTTCATGCATAGAGGATTTTATTTTATTTATTTATTTTTTGGTACTGGGGATCGAACTCTGGTCCTCGCGCTTGCACAGCAGGCGGCGAAACCACAAAGCTAAATCCCTGGCCCAAGAATTTGATTTTGATGAAATCTGATTTCCATTTTTTTCCCCCAGTACCGGGAATCAGACTCAGGACCTTGCCCTGGTCAGGCAGGCGTGATGCCATTGAGCCACGTCCCCAACCTGTCTTTTTTTTCTGGTTCCTGTGTTGCCTGTATCACGGTGTCACAGCTGTGAGGTCACCGCCACATTTAAGCTCATGGACGCTCATTCTTGTCTTCCTCTGGGCTTCATCGAATTGCTCTGGCACTCATACCCTGGCCACTGTCTGCCTCCTTGTGTTCCTGGTGTCCTGCTGCCCCCAGTCTGAGAACAGACTCCTCCTGTGAGGAAAATCGGTTCACACATCTGGGGGCGGTTTCCGCCTGGGCTCCCTATTCCATGCCTGGTCTATGTCTGACTTCATTCCTGCCTTGATTATGCACCTTTAAAGTGAGTTTAGAAATCAGAGTATGAATCCTACAACTTATTCTTCATCTTCAAGATGGTTTTGACTATTTAGGGTGCTTACAATTCCATATAAATTTCAGGATCAGCTTTTCCATTTCTTTCTTTCTGTTTTTGTTTTTTGAGACAGGATCTCACTATGTAGGCCAGGCTGGCCTCGAATTCATGGTGATTCTCCTTTCTCAGCCTCTTGAGTTCTGGGATTATGGGTGTGCACCACCATGCCCAGTAAGCTTTCCCATTTCTGCAGAAAAGGTCATTCATCAACTATTGAAAAAAAAAAAGGTAAATTCCAGTTGGGTGTGGTGCTGTATACCTTTAATCCTGGTACTCTAGGAGGCTGAGGCAGGGGGATTTCAAATTCAAACTCATCCTGGGCAATTTAACAAGACTTTCTGAAAATAAAAATATAAAAAACGGTGGGAATATAACTCAGTGTGGAAGTTTTGGGTTCATTTGCCAGTATTGGAAAAAAAAAAAAAAGATAAATCCAGCGGGGAGCTGAGGAGAAGCAAAACAGCAGGTGGGGCCTCCAGTCTAACTGACCCAGGCAGGGCCAGGTGCCATCCCATGGGGGCTGGGACAGTGCTGCAGGCTTTGTCAGGCAGGTGATGGGGGCCGGGGCCTGGGCCTGAGCAGGGGCCTGGCGCCCACTGCTGAGAGGACAGAGCCATGCCATGCGGTCAGCTGGAGAGCAGCCCAAGGTGTCCACGCGTCGGGGCCTCGAGGGGCACAGGGGTGGCCACAGAGGATCTGGAGAACCCGGTTCTTGTCCACCAGCTGGGCGGCAGGGCTGGGGCCAGGGGGGCCAACGGGCAGTGCTGTCCTGGACCTCTCCCCGGGGCCCACTGCAGGCCGGAGGGAGTGGCCACCAGGGCCCCAGGCTCTCCCTGTCCCCACCAGTGCTGCCGCCCTGGGGAGCTGCTGGGCCGAGGATGCTGGAGGGGCTGCTCTACGTCCACCAGCACCAGAGCCTTCACACCCAGCCTCCTGCCTGTCCCCGCTCCCTCAGGCCATCTGTCCCCCTGCCCCTAGCCTGGGGCCAGGCCAGGCCATCAGGCCCCTGGAATCCTCCTCAGCCTGACCAGGGCCCCTGACTTGGCCAAGTATGGCCCCAGCACTTTGTAAAATTTACTTAATTTGGGCAGGGATTTAGCTCAGTGGTTCCACCACCTGCCTTGCAAGCCCAAGGACCCGAGTTCGATCTCCAGTACCAAAAAAAAAAAATTTACTTTTTTGTTTTTTTGAGACAGGGTCTCAATATATATTTCAGACTGGCCTTGAGCTTTCTATGTAACCCAGGCCTGCCTCGAATTTATGGTGATCGTCCTGCCTCAGCCTCCTGCGCGCTGGATTATAGTCCTGTGCCCTCAAACCCAGCTGGCCCCAGCACTTCTGAAGGAGGCGGGGGTCCCGGGCGCTGTGGGCTGGATCAGTGTGGGCAGGAATGAAGGTCCCAGGGACAGCTGCTCCCCGGTCGGGAGGGCCCTTCCACGCAGGCGGCCCAGCGCAGCGGTGCCTGGAGCTGGAAGCAGCCTGCTGGGGCCCAGCCCCGCCAAGACCCCTGGGGCCTCAGGGCTGTTTGTCACGGACCGCGTCCCAGTCCCCAAGCCCGGAGGTGATGCAAGGTTGCCCGAGGGGCAGCGGGCGGGGCCCAGGCGCGGGGGAGGGGGGGCAGGCCGGGTCCCGGTGGAGCCTGGGTGCGCTGCGGGAGCGGGTGTTGTGGAAACCGGCGGGGCCCGCGGGGCAGCTGCCTGGAGCCTGGTCCCCGGGGCCTCTGCGGTGACGAACCCGCGAGCCACGGGGCCTTGAGTCCCCGGGTGGCGCCTGCCCCGGTCTCGGTGGGCGTCGCCGGGCTGGGCGGGATAGGCGGAGGGGAAGACTCTGCAAAGGCCGGACTGGCTGCGCAGGGCGGGGCGTGCCCAGCCTTGGGAGTCTGAGGCAGGAATACCGCAAGTTTGGGGCAGCCTGAGCGATCCAGGAAGACCCTGGATCGAAATGAAAAATAAAAAGGCGCCAGAGGGAGGGCGCCCGGGCTCCATCCCCAGCCCTGCAAAGCGAAAGGCGCCGCGTCTTGGAGCAGGACGAGAGGGCTGGGGGGAGGCCGAGCTCGCAGCCCAGGTGTTGCGCCCCCTCCAGGCTGCGCCGCGCGCCCGGCTCCTCCTTGGGCGGGGCGAGCCCAGAACCCCGAACCCCGAACCCCAAACCCCGAACCCCGGCTGCGCGCGGCCTTCGGGCGCCGCCTGGTGGGCAGGCGGAGCTACGCCGGACCGCGCGGCTTCCGGGCGGGCGAAGGCCCGGGGGACTGGGCGCGGCCAGAGCTAAGGGCGGGGCCTGGCCTTAAAGATGGAGGGGGCGGGGAGACAACCGTAAGGGGCGCGGGGTGGCGGGGGCTCGAGCAATGGGGCCGCGGAGACTTTAAGGAAGAATCGAGCCGGCGAGGCGGGCAAGTTCCCGGGGGTCATCGCGCTGCTAGGCTGCGCTGCGCTCCCGCCCCAACCGTGCAGAGGGGAAACTGAGGCACGCCCTGCCGGCAGGCCGCGCGCCGGGACACCGAGGGAGCCTCGCGTGCTCGGGGCCGGGCCGAGCCCAGCCTGGGCGTCACCCTGCGTCCTGACGGGCTTCTCTTGGCCTCGGGCGCCCCAGGCCCTTTTCCTGCCCCACAGGATCAGGCTCTGGGCCATGACAGTGGCGGGGCGTCCCTGCCCCGGCGACCTGGGCCACACATCCGGGGCTTTGTAGACCCGCGCCTGCAGACCGGTCTGTGGGCTTTAGCAGGAAGACCAGGGAGGAAGCCGACGCTCCGCCCACGCGCGAGGCCGCCGGTCGCACTGGCGCTGTTGAGGTCAAGTTCTGTTTTCCCCTCTGTGAAGCCCACAACTGAGAGTGCAGACTCGTGCTCCGCTCCTGGAAGAGGATGACGCACAGATGATTTGGACCAGGCCTTTCCTTTTGAGACGGGGTCCCCTTGTGTTGTCGCCTTGAACTCACTCTGTAGCCCAGGCTGGCCTCAATCCTCCTGCCTCGGCCTCCTGAGTGCTGGGATTACCAGGCGTGCACCACCACACCCCTCTAAGATCTGCATAAATTATATGGAATGCTGCATGAGAGATTCGATTTTTCTTTTTTTGTTATAGTAAAACATGCATAATTACCATCCTTACCCTTTCTAAGCGTACAGTTCTTTGGCATTAAATATATTCCCGTTAGTGGGCGACCATTGCCCTATCCATTTCCAGAACCTTTCAGTCTCTCTGAGCCGAGACTTGGAATCTGTTGCGCACTAACTCCTCCATCTGTTTCCCGGCCTGCCCGGCCTGCCGGCTTCCGCCTCAGCCCACTTCCTGTCTCTCTGGCCCAGCTGACTCCAGGTGCTCCTCTAAGTGGACCCGCGCGGTATTTGTCCTTTGCAGCTAGTTTATTTCTCGACAGCTTGTCCTCCAGCTACATCCTTGTGCTATCCGGTGTCAGAATTCACCGCTTTTATTTGTCTTAATTTTTCAGTTCTGAACAGAGATGGAACCCAGGGCTTGTGCACGCTAGACAAGCGCTCCCCACTGAGCTGGTTCCCCAGCCCTTCTTATTTAATTTTTTTGAGACAAGGTCTTACGTTGTCTAGGCTGGGCTGAAACTTGTGATCCTCCTGCCTCAGCTGTCTGAAAAGCTGAGATTTTTCATCTCTTTTTCAGGTCACATAGTGTTCGTTCCATGTACACATGGCACATGATGTCATTCACCTGTCTTTCACGGACATAGGTAGCTCCCACCTTTTGGTTATGAATAGTGTTTCTGTGAACATGTACGATGTTTATCTGTGTCCCTGCTTTTAGCTTTTTTCTAAGTACCCAACAGTGGAATCACTGCAGGCTCATGGTAATTCTGTCCATTATCATTGTTGTTATTGTTTTGCAGAATTGGGAAGTGAACCCAAGGCCTTCCCACTGACCTACATCCCTAGGCCCTTATTTATTTATTATTTATTTATTTAAAACATTTGTTGGAGACAGGGTCTCACTGTATAGTCCAGCTGGCCTCAGACTTGCAGCAATCCTGCCTCAGCCTCCCGAGTGCTGAGGTTATAACCATGCACCACCACGGCCAGCCCTAGGCCTTTTAAAATACTGTTAAATTTTGAGACAGGGTCTCACTGTCATTGAGTTTCCCCGCTGGACTCAGAGTTGAGATATTCTTGTCTCAGCTTCCAGAGAGCCAGGCTGTAGGCATGCGCCACCACATATACACAGCTGTGTTTAAGATTTGGAGGAACTGTCGTTCAGGCTTCCATAGAGGCTGTACCATTTTACACTCCTGTCCTCCCTAGCCCTCACTCTTGTTTCTTAGTCTCTCTGTTTCTGTCCCCCCCCACCCTGCTCTGTATTGGTCCTGGGGATTGAACCCAAGGCCTTTGCACTAAGGGTCTCACTAACTTGCCAAGTTGCCCAGGCTGGTTTCACTCAAATCTGCAATCCTCCTGCCTCAGCCTCCCAAGCACTGGGATTACAGGAGTGCAGCACCATGCCCAGCACCTTTTTTTCCTTTTCTTTCTGTGCAGGAGATGGACCCTAGGTCTTGCACCTGCTGAGCCCATGACCCAGCGCCAAGCTCCAGTTCCAGCCCATGGGGGTTTTGGTTTGTGTTACCCTCGTCGTCAGGGATGTGAACGTCTTTCCTTCCACCCTGCAGGTCCCTTCCAGTCTGCCGGTGGCGTCCTCTGAAGCACAATGGATGCCAGTTGTTTGGTAAGGTGTAACCCAGGACTGCTTGATTCATCTAGTTGTTCAAATTCTTCCAGCTTTGGCCACTGGGACTCTTTCAGGTGGCTGGGATTACTTTATTATTAATAATAGGTTATTTAGAGACAGGGTCTCACTATGGAGCCCAGGCTGGCCTTGAACTCACTGTGATCCTCCTGTCTCAGCCTCCTGAATGCTGGGATTACAGGCGTGCATCATCACACTTGGCTCTGATTTATCTTTATTATGTGATTTTCTGCTTTCCTTTTATGCTCTTTTCTTGGGCTTCTTCCTCATTTCCTGTGTTCTATTAGATTTATCAATTTTGTTTCCTTCACAGGTGTGGAAATTATACAACTCTTTTTTTTTTTTGGTATTGGGGATCAAACTTGGGACCTTGGGCTTGTGAGGCAGGTGTGGAACCACTGAGCTAAATCCCCGGCCCCTTTTTTTTTGGTTGTTTTTTTAGACAGGGTCTCACTGTATAATTTAGCCTAGCTTTGAACTGTGTAGCCTAGGCTGGCCTCTAACTCACAGTGATCCTCCTGCCTCAGCCTCCTGAATAATGCTGGATTACAGGGATGGGCCACCACGCCTGGCACAATTTACTTCTTTTAGTGTCTACCTTAAGATGTCTGTGCCTTTGATGGAGGCTCAGGGGAGGCGGGTGCCCACAGGAAGCTGCTGGGGCCCAGCATCCACCATCTATGCTGTCCTGGCGCAGCTGCCAGGCCCAGCCGTGTCCCCAGGTGGGCTCAGCTCAACTTCAGTCATCATGGAGCTGCTACGGGTGCTGGGGCTGGGATGTGGCCTTTTGTGGGTCTTCAATGGCGGGGTGGTGGGTGTCAGCTTAGAGGAGAAGACAGCAAACCTGTAGATGCAGGGGCTCACAGGGGTGGGGATAACCCTGAATTCACCCACCCGGACGCCTCCCAGGGCCTGGACTTGACCTCAGGTCCCCCCCAGGGTAGACCGGGTAGCAGGAAAGATGTGTGAAGTGAGAGCAGCCCTGGGTGTGCACAGCTGGCTCACAGCTGGGTTTCCAGTCCCCATGACCCCCTCGCTGTCATTTGTAATGGTGCTGGGCAACAGCCACTGGGCCTGTCCCCACTTCCTTTCCAACTCATCACAGTGACGGGCCACAAGCCCAGGGGCACATTGCTATGGATGGGTATTGAGGGGTGAGTCCGTGACACCCCACCTTGTCACAGCTTGGGACCCTAGAAGCCAACTGAGGTGGAGTTCGGGACAGCGCTGGGTGCAGGGCTCACTTGTGACAGGAAGTGGGTGTCCTAACGGGAAATTCTGTTGTGAACTACAGTAAGGGTGAGCCCTGAGATGAGCTGCTGCGTGACATAAGGCAAATGTGAAAGGAGAAATGGTCCAATGCTTAGACGGAAAGCGGAGAGCAGCTGCCAGGGCGGGGAGAGGGTGGAGGGAGGGGCCTTGGGGGAGGAACTGAGGCTCGGCCCAAAGTTCGAGGCGCGCCCCAGAGGTTGCTGGCGAGGCCGTGTCCATGGTCACAGTGCTGCACTATGCACGGAACCGGTCACGATGACAATGGTCTGGTTTTCTTTTCTTTTTTTTTCTGCAGTGATCAGAAGCCGAGCAAGATGGAAATAAAGATTTTACTACTTACAGACCTGGAGGCCACAGAGGCTGGCGCCTGGTGTCCTGGGCTGGGTGTGGGTGTGGCACAGCCCTGAGACTGCGGCAGGTCCCCAGGGAGGGTGCAGTGGCACTGTGGGATCCCAGCTTTGAGGGTGAGCTGTGAGACTGCCCATCTTGAGGACCAACAGTGAGGGACAGAGGCCGGGGCCTCAGCAAGTCTTCGAGCACTGGGGCCGCTGGGACGAGTTTGTTTCTGCAGGCTGGGTTCTGGTGGCCTCAGGGAAGGTGCTGGGTGCGAACGGCCCCCACCTCACCCCGGGGAGACCAAGGCCAGCTGCAGCTGGGACCGAGGTAGGGATCGATCCCTTGTACCCTACATCCACGAGGGAGCCTCCTCACACCCTGCCTGAGCTTGCTGGGAGCTGGCCCGCCAGTCACTGGGGCTGCCTGCCTGGTCACCACAGACCTTTGGCCTCAGCAGTTGGCCCGGGCCTGAGTGGCCACATCCCGAGGGTTAGATTTTCTGGCAGCAGTGGGCACCATGTGCTCCACCTGCTTAGACTCATCAGGCAGTGGCAGGGGAGGGGCCAGCATGCGTGTGTGGGACCCCAGGGCTGTGCAGGAGCCCAGGGCCATGTGGAGGAGGGAGGGTACCAAGGCAGGGCCTGTCCCTGGCGATGCCGAGGCGGGGGAGCCCCTGGGCCCATGAGGGCTTGGATCTGTAACCACAAACTACTTTCCTCCTCCTCGTCTACTTCCTTCTTTTTTCAGTACCCAAGGGCTTCACACTGAATTATATCCCATTCTTTTTGTTATTATTTTTTTATGTTGAGAGAGGGTCTTGCTAAGTTGTGCAGGGTGGGCTTGCAGTTGAGATTCTCCTGCCTCAGTCTCCCAGAGTCCTGGGATTACAGGTGTGAACACCACACCCCGCTTTAACTGTAAGCTTCTGAGGGCTGTGGCCAGCAGCAGCTCTCACACCGACTGCTGGGGTGGGGATGGTGAGGGCCTGGGCCACTGCCCGGTGGTTAGCTAGACCCGGATGGGGAGGGTGGTGCCCGTCTAAGGAGGGAGCTCAGAGGCCCAGGCAGGCCCTCCTGGGGGAACTGGCTCTGCTGTTCTGAGTGGGAGGGGGTCAGGTTTCCCCGAGAAGCCCCAGAATAGCCCTGGCTGAGTGGAGGAAATGTGGCCCCAGGTCCACCTGCTCCGCTGCCTCAGCCCTGCCCAGAGTCCCCTGCCTGTGCTGTGGCCCTCGTGGCCTCTGCAGGGGCCCAGGACCCTGATGCCCCAGCCACCCAGGCAGGCTTCACAGTGGTCACCGGGTGGCGGGTGGCGCTGGACTGCTGGGGACAGGAGGGACCACTGGATGCCACCTGGCCATGGGGTCTTACCCAAGATGCCTGGCCAACAACCACTGCAGCCCACAACAGTCAGGCTGTACCGGGAGAGGGACAATCACTTGGGGCCCCGCCTGCCCCCATGGGGAAGGGCCGAGCCAGTCCCAAAATAGGGCTGGCAGGGTTTCCCAGCCACACAAGGCTTTTGGAATCTGGACCCCAGGGACCCCAGGCATTTGTCCCCACCTGCCCTCCCCTCAGCCAGCCGCATGGTAGGGCTGCTCAGTGCCTGGGGCCTGGTAGACTGGGTGGCAGAGAGTCGGGCAGAGAACGGCTGGGGTGAGGACCCCTCTGGAGCCTGAGAGGGGCTGAGCCAGGGCCCTTCTGCTCCAGGGTGGGGGTACAGTGGCCCTTTCTGGTCCCGTGTGCCCCTGGTCTCACTGGCACCCACTGCCTCAGCCCCTGGAGTCCTGCTGCCCCTCCCGGGGGTGAGCTCTGCCCCACTGGCTTGTTCTGGACCCACCCAGAGCCCCATCCCCTGGAGCCCCCACGTGTCCTGGAAGCCTGGCCTGTGCCAGGGCCTCCTTTTGCCCTGGAGAGGGGAAGGGCAGCCCCCCTGAGTGGGGTGTGGGGTCCCCTGCAGACAGAACAGCTGGAATACAAGGTCTTTGAGATGTTTGTTGAGGAGGGCAAAGGGGAGGTGAAGATGGCAAGCTGCAGTGGCTGACCAGCTTGCTGGGCATCAGCCCCACCAAGAATCAGCTGGCCTCCATGGCCAAGGATGTGGACAGACAGCAGGGTAGGCGGCTGAGGTGGGGGCAGCCTCAGGCTAGGCCTGTGGGTGTGCAGCGGGTGGGGGTGGGCCCCCCTTGAGCCCCAGGACCCAAACTCCCTGCAAACAGAGGCTTCCTGGCCTTGATGGGGATCTATCACGAGAAGGCCCAGAACCAGGAGGGTGAGCTCACGGGTGCACTCTGGGTCTTCCACAAGGACAGCAAGGGCTGCATCAACTGGAACAGTCTCAAGCAGGTGGGGCGGGGGCAGAACGGCAGGCAGGTTGGCCAAGGCAGGGGCTCAGGAGCGCAGGCCAGCCCCTCAGTGAGGTGGAGGCTGGGCAGATGATGGAGGCCAAGGACGGGACAGGACCAGCGCCTACAAGGTGGGTGGGGCCGGCAGGGAGTGTGCCTGCCTCTCTGCCCGAGGAGGAGGAGGAGTTTGTGGCCATGATGACCGGAGAGTCCTTCAAGCTGGTCCAGTAGGAGCAGCTGCCACAGCTACAGGATGCCTGGCCAGGAAGGCTGCCACTGCCCCCACTCATGGGAAGTAAATGCTCCAGCCTGACTTCTCTGGGCTTCACTGCCCCAGCCCTGGGGGTGATGGGGCGCGGCTGGGTCAGGAGCAGTCCTCAGGGAGCCCCTGTCAGTCCTGCTGCCCAGATCTATGCCCTGAACGCCAGCCTGACCATGTGCTTGCCCTCCTGCCTGCACTCCCTGGGGCCCCCAGAGCCATCCCACGGGCAGAGACCACTTAGACATGAACTTTATTCTCCCCTAAAGGAGCTGTGGACATCACGGCTGGCCCTGAGCTCACGCAGCTCAGGCCCTTGGTGCCTCTTCCAGACTGAGGCCTGTGAGCCAGGCCAGGGGCTGGGGCGGAGAGCGGCAGCCTGCCTGGGGGTGGCCAGCATGGGGCTGGTGACTGCGTTACATAGCAACGAGGCCAGGGCTGCAGCAATGTGCTGAATGGCAGCCTTCCCGGGGGAAGGATGGGGGCAGGCTGGGGTCCTTGGCTCCAGGACTCCGAGCCCTGGTTCTGTGGCTCCAGGAGAGCTCTCTTGCTCCCTTTACAGGGCAGCAGGGCTACTGGGCATTGGGACCTGGCTCCTGGGGCCTTGGGGTGGTCCCGAGGCCCGAGGGCCCTGGGAGAGGACCTGGTTTCTGGGGAGGAGCCAGCTCATCTCTGGGCTTCGCCATCTTGATGGCCTCATCGTAGGAGGGTGGCAGCTCCAAGGTGGACAGGCTATAGGCCGGCAGGGCCATGAAGTCTGGGTCCAGCTCCCCAAAGGGCAGCGGCAGCCGTATGCCCAGTGGATACTGCACCGAGCTGTAGGCTGCAGGAAGCAGAGGGGTCTGTGCAGGCAGCTGGGCGCCGCCCCATGGCCACAGCCCTCCCCGTAGGGCACTCACAGGTCACAGTGCTGTGCACAGGGCTGTCACTGTCCACGGGGATGGCTGTCAGGTCACGGGGCTGCCACGCCGGGGACAGGTGAGTCTGAGTGTGTGCCTGCTTTCGGAGACAGCAGAACCCGATGCAACTGGCAGTGACCCCGCACAGCAGCAGCAGCAGGACAGTGAGTAGGATGAGCCTGGAGGGGAGGAGTGGACCCCACCGCTGCTGCACTGAGCCCTGCCCACTGGGCACCTGCACCCTCTGGCCAGTTGCCGCCCAGACACCCAAGACGTGACCACAGCCAGGTGGAGAGGAGTCCAGGGCACCCTCTTCACGCCAGATGCCTCCTGGCCGGAGCCCGGTCTGTGCAGCCGCTCGCCCTGGCTGGGCGGCCTTGGGCTCACTCCCAGGACACGCTGTCCCCAGCCGACTGCACCTTCTGCTGTGATCGCCTTGCTCCCGGCTGCCAGGGCCCAGCGCTCTTGCCAGCAGCCGGGACTGGGGGCAGCAGGGGGACAGGGTCCCCGGTGAACGGTCGAGCCTGCGCCAACGCGGCCTCCACTTACCCCACGTGCCACAGGCTGCTCCAGCGGGCCTGGGGTGGGCACCTGCGGGGACGGGGCAGCTGCAGCGGGCGGCGCGGCCGGCGGCCCCACCCCCACCCAGCCCGACTTACTGGTCCGAGGGGTCGCAGCCGCCGCTGTCCGCCGAGCCCGGCGCCACCTGTGGGGACAGGGGTGAGCCCAGGCTGGGGGGGGGTCCGCGCGCACGCTGGGCCCGCACAGGCCCCGACCCACCTGCGGCAGCCGCAAGAGCAGGAGCGGCAGGAGCAGCAGCAAGAGCCCAGCCGAGAGCCCCGAGGCCATGCTCCGTGGGACTGGAGCACCAAGGCCCCCTCCCACCCACCGAGCGCAGGGCTTTATGGGTCCCGCCCCGACCTTGCCGAGGAGGCCCCGCCCAAGCCCCGCCTCACCAGCCGTGCCCCGCCCACAGAAGGGGGTGTCCACGCGAGTCTCCGCCCACCGGAGAACCGGTCCCCGGGAGGCCCCATCTGTAACCCCGCCCAGACCCTGTAGTCCCCGCCCCTGGCCCGGAGGCGCCGCCCCAGATGTCCCGCTCACTCCCTACCGGTTTAAGAGTCTTCCCGCCGGATCCCCGGTGACCCGCACGTGGCTGGGCGTGGCCTGCTCCAACCCCACCCCGGCTGTCCTGAAAAGCTGTGTCCCTAGCCCCATGGGGCGTGGTCTTGCAGGAGGAGCGGGGTCCATCCTCAGCCGCCGGCGGTCCCCGATCCCCGCAGATGGGCTGAGGCCACTCCCCCTTCCAGTCGGGCCGCTGAGGCGCTGGAGGCGGAAGGCTTTTCAGGAACACTGGCCGTGAAGGCCTCATCAGCTCGAGGGGCCAGCGGATCTCCCTCAGCCCGGTTGCTTGTTTCTCATCCCGCTGGGCGAGGACCCAGACTCCTACCCGCCCTCCCACCGGGCTGCTCTGCCCCCTGCTGGCCGCCCCGGGCCCAGCAGCACCGCCTCCTGTTTGCTCCCTGTGCCCCGCACGCAAGTGTGGACGCCTGCTGTCTCCCCGGGGGAAGTGACAGTGCCGTCAGGGCTCTGCCCACAGCTGTCCTGTACCCCCGGCCGGGAGCTTGGCCCTGGCCCTCCCTCCTCCCAGGCCTGTCTTGGCTGCCTGGTCCTGGAGGGCCGGTACCGAGAGGGGAGGAGCCCTGGGCTGAGCTGGGCCTCGGGGGGCTGGCCCGGCCCGGCCCGCCTGCTGCCTCTCCTCCCAGCTGGCCGGGCCGCACCGCAGGGGCCAGCCTCCTGGGAAGCGGCGGCCTCCAGGGCCCTGGGCAGAAGACCCACAGACGCACTCCAGGGTCACTGCCACCGGCTGATAAGGGGAAAAGCCGGCCGCCAGTGCCTCGGAGCCCAGCAGTGCCAGGAAGGCCCACAGATGCCCCGCGCCTCCGCTCCCAGGCCCGGAAGGGCACACGCTCTCCGGGGTGCGGGGTGGCTGGGCGGTGCTTAGCGGAGGGCCAGGCAGGCGGGCGCTTGGGGAAATGGGGAACAAGCCAGGCCCCGGCGGAGTGGGGCGCAGGAGCCGCTCACAGTTGGGTTTTTCTGGGCCCTTGGAGGTGGCTCAGGCCCCAGGGCAGAGCCCAGACTTCTCGGTCGGGTGGACACTCACACCCTCAGACTGGGCCTGCCCTGGCCCCGCCCCTGCTCAGCCCTTCCTTGGGATTATCAGGAGGCGCTGGTTAGGGGCCTGGGCTCCAGCGGCCCTTCCCCTCCGACCCGCGTCTCCAGTCTGGGCCAGTCTCAGCTCCAGCCCTGAGAGCTCCTGCACCCTGTACTCCAGGTTTGGGGGCTCCCGAGGGGCCTCTCCAGGGTTTCTGTAACGACTCTGCCTTCCCTAGGGTCCTCGCCCCACAGCTTGCTGCTGTACGGATGGAGGGGTGTGTGTGTGTGTGTGTGTGTGTGTGTGTGTGTGTGTGTGTGTGTGCGCGCGCGCGCGCGCTTCCCCAGGGCTCTGTCCCCACCTCGAGTTCGGTGCTTGTCACCCACACTGCAGGCTGTGCACATCGGCTCACAGCACGTTTATTTCGGCCCAAGGGGCGGCTCTGCTGCAGCCCCTGAAGTTCGCTGCACTGGGTTCAGGGAGGGGGTCCTTGTGGGCCCTGAACTGGCTGGGTCCGGGAGCACGGGAAGCGGCCATGTTCGTGGGACTGGGAGCCAGGGTCCTGTCCCCTTGGGCTGGCCTGGGTGGGGTGGGCTTCCACTGTGCGGGGAGGGCCTCGGGTGTGGGAGAGGCTTCTGTGGTCCTAGAGGCCTGTCACCACATGGGCCACAAAGATGACTTTGTAGTTCTCCTTCACGTCCCCCCTGAGCTGCAGCAGGGTGGACACCATGAGCGGCTGGTCTGGCTGGAATAGGAGAGGACCCTCAGCCAGGCGGCACCCCAGGGAGCAGTCTTTCCCAGTCACTCCACAGCCCCACAGCCGCCTCTCCCATCACTGGCCCAGCACCCACGTCAAAGTCGGCAGGTGGCACCCAGGAGACACTGATGGTTTTGGTCTGGCCTCGGTCCACAGAGCCCCTGGAGGGCTCAATGGAGAAGCCTTTGTGCTGCAGCCACGTGATGCCATCCAGGCTGAATTCCACCACCTGCAGGCATCGGCATTGCTGGGGCAGGGGCCGGCACCCCAGCAGGCACAGGGACTGGGGATCAGACTGCCAGCACCCCTCTTGCTCTGCCTGGGTTTCCCACCCCCACCTGCTGCAGGAAAGCCCAGCCACACTAGTGAGGGGCACAGCCAGGGCTGCCTGGCTGGGGTGGGGCAGACACTTCCAGGGTGGCACCAGGAGTGGAGCCACCATCACCTTCTTTAGAGACGGCTGTGTGGTCCGGATGCAGCCCACCTGCAGCTCCCTGGTGGCAGGGCATGCTGGCTGGTCTGTGTCCAGCTGGATGTAGTTCAGGGTCAGCAGGATGGGCTTCAGCTCCTCAGCCTCTGTGGAGGGAGGCACTGGGCAGCTGGGGCTGGAATCCCTTTGAACCCAGGGCACAGTGGGTCCTGCTGGCTTTGGGGGTGCTGGCCCCGGAATCCCCACTTGCCAGGAGGGTGCTGGGGGCCCCTTCTGACGCCAAGCTCACCCTGTCTGTGCTCAGTGTCAGAGGCTTGGATCACTGCCAGTGACTCCACGGGCACGTCCAGGGGGTCCCCGCCCTCCACGAACATCATGTGTTCGCGGGCGGCCCCCTTCAGCCGGATCTGGTGAGAGACTTTCTGGGGACAAGAAGCAGGCAGCCTGTTCCCCAGTTCCACTGTAGGCGTCGGGCCCCACGGGACCAGGGACACCTGCTGACCCCCATGTGGTGTCCTTGGCCTTGAAATGGGGCAGCTCCGGGAGAGGTGCGGAGGGGATGCTCAGTGGTGGCCGGGCCCCACCTTCTCGAAGAGCACCACCTGGAGCTCGTCAGAGAAGTACAGGCTCTCGTGGTCGGGGCTGAAGGTCACGGTGAAGTCCTGCACCCTCCCAGGGTCCATGATGCCGGTGACCGGGACCACACTGAACACACTCTGGCCACTGTGGTTCTGTGTGCCTGTGGGCAGCGGAAGGGTGGGCAGGGGCCCCCCCGCACACCACACCCACCCTGCCATCCCAGCGACTGCCCCCTGGACAACAGCTCACCCACGATGTCCGTCCTCTGGGGCCGAGCAGTGAGGAACTGTGGCAGCTCCTGCTGGGCAGAGGCCCCGGAGCCTGAGAGGCTGCTCAGCCGCACGGAGAACTTGATGGGCAATGAGGAGTCGTTCTGCAGCTGCCAGGCGCAGGGTGTCAGGGGACCCGCACGGGACCAGGTGGCCTCACCCCTCACACAGCGATGGTGCAGCACTCAGGGTGGAAGCCCGCTCCATCCTGCCCTGGCCCGGACCCTAGGTCATCGCAGCTGCCCCACTCACCCGGCCCCACCTGTCCTCCCCCGGCCCTGGAGTCCCCTTCTGTCACAGTCCCCATCCCGGGCTCTGCTCCCAGGACCCCCGGGCCAGGTGTCCTTCCGCAGGCTGCGTGAGCTGGGCCAGGGCGTCCTCAGAGTGGGGTGGTGGGCACCAGCCCTCGAGGGAGCCCGGGCAGAGTGGCCTCACCCAGGGGCCTGAGTTGGGCTCCCACAGGGGGTGCTTGAGTGGCAAAGCCCAAGGGGCTGGCCGGGCCTTGTGCATAGACCTGCGCAGGGGCACAGGGAGATGTGGGAAGGACAGGTGAGCGCCACTGGAGGCAGGACACCCCCTGCCCTCTCCGGAGCGTAGCAGAGGCGCCACGCACTGGGGCTGGGTGGGAGCAGCCTGGGCCTCCACTGTCCCAGCCCCTGGGCCCCCAAAAGCAGGGCTGACCCCCCCAGGAAACCTTGAAGCCCATGGAGACGGACTCTCTGGCGAGCACGTAGCCCATGTCGAGGACGTCACCGTCAAGGGAGCACGTGATCACGGGGGCCATGCCGGTGCCCAGCAGGGTGAGGGGGAGCGCGCCTCTCTTGGTGATGACCTCCAGCCTTTCCTGAGCCTGGAGCACAGCCTGTGTCAGGCCGGGGGCTCCCTCTGCCCTGCCGGCGAGGGGCTGGGGGGCCAGGCTTGCTCAGCTCCTGCCCGAAACACAGGGTGTCCAGGGGGTGGCACTCACCTGGACACTTGCGTGGGGCGAGAAGGACAGCGCCAGGACCCGGGTCTCGCCGGCACGCAGCTTGCTGGGGGTGTTCACCAGGAAGAAGGGGCCTCTGGGGTCCAGCAGGGAGAAGTCCACCTGGACGGCGTCAAGGAGCAGCCGCTGGACCCTCCCCCGGCCCAGCTCCACCCTGGGCGCCTCTGCGTGTGGACAAGGATACGGCCAGGTCCTCGCGGCCGATGTTCTGGAGGGAGACCTTCTTGATGCCGCGCTGCCCTGAAACGGAAGGGAGTCGGCCCAGCTGGGCTCCAGGAGCAGTGCCCTGGCGGGGCGGGGCGGGCCGGACCAAGGTGGGGATCCAGGCAACGCACCGACAGCGATGTGGCCGAAGTCGATGAGGGTCTTGCCTCCGTCTGAGGTCAGCACGACAGCTGGAGCCACTGCCGGGCACCACAGCTCCAGGTACAGCGTGTGGGGGGGGCTGTGGGAGGGGCGAGCGGCTGAGGCGGAGCGGCCCGAGCGGCCTGGCCCCGCGGAGGACGCTGAGCTTGCGGCTGGCCACGCCCAGCTGGGCCTGAACACCCCGCACCTGAAGCTCAGGGGTTCCAGGCCCCTCCTGTCTTTGACGTCACCGCTGGCAACAACGCAGGGGACCACGAATTTGTCAAACCGCCCCCGGAATGTTCTGGCCAGCGCGGCCTGGGCGGCCTGGTACTCTTCGGCTCTGGAACAAAACCGGCAGGCGGCACTGGCAGCTCTGTCCCGGGCTCCTCAGCCCAGGGCCGGTTTCCCCGCCGCTCCCTAGGGACCAGGCTCCGAGAGTGCAGCGACAGCGGCCTGCGGGAGCCACATTCCCGGGACATAGGAACAAGTCCAGGGCTGACAAATGGCCAACCCCCAGAGCACTCCTGGGCTGCTTCCGCTTTGGGAAGGCTCAGTCAGGACAGCAGCCTCTCCTGCAGCCCATGGTGGGGTCTTCCGGAGTGACACCAGGCCCCCAGGAAGTGCTGGGCACACGCCTGGGAGAGGAGCCCTGGATCCAGCTTGTTCCCCGGGAACTTCCGGCCCTGAGGGTCCACACAGCTGTGCTCTGGCAGCCTGCCGGGAGAGGCTCCCAGGACCACGGTGGGCTTTCCTGGTGGCCTGGGTCACACGGGGAAACCCCTCCAGCGCACCTGGCCTCCAGCTCCTGCTTCTGTAGAGCGGGGGCCTGGCCCAGCCAGTCCTGTGCCCTCACGTCCTTCTGCTGGGCAGCCGCATCCTTCTGGAGCTGGATGACGGGGCAGGTGTTGGGGGGCTGCCCAGGCTCTGCCTGTGCCCCGGGGCAGCACTGTCTGGAGCACCAGGCCCCGCTCCAGGCCTGCTGAGCCATGGGAACCCACTGACTCCTACGAAGGGCTGACTTCGGGGCCCGGGGCTAAGCCGGGGTGGGGGGCCTGAGGCCAGGGCACAGACTGAGGCTGCCCAAGGACTGCACATCGCCAGTGGGGGAACAGAGGCACAGGAGGGCTGGAGTTTGTGTAAGAGGGTCCTCGACAGGTGCCTTCCCAAGCTTCACTGCCCTGCTCACGGGCAGGGCCGACACCAGGGCCTGCTGCTGCCCCTGGCTTGTTTCCTACGCTCCCCCCTCCCCCTGCCGTTGCCAGGCTGCACTTCAGGGTCCTTCTGTCCAGCCTGTCAAAGCCCAGCTGTGCCCCAGGTCCTGGCCTCCAAGAGCCCCGCCCCCTGCAGGACCCCATCCCCCAGCACGCTGCCCTCCAGGCCCTCACCCGCAGGGCTCCCCCTCGCTGCCAGGTGGTGCTTTTGGAGGGCAGGGAAGGGACTTACAAGAAGACCCCTGACCAGGCTGCGGATTTAGCTCAGTGGTTCCAGCGCCTGCCTTGCAAGCGCAAGATCCCGAGTTTGATCCTCGGTACCAAAAAAAGAAAGACCTCTGACCTTCGAAGGCCCAGCAAACCCACCCCACGCTCTGGCACACTCTCCCTGGCCGCCTGTCCCTCCCAAGGGCTCCACGCACCGGCTTGGCCTTGGTTTCCTGGCTCAGGGTCTGGAGAGCTTCCTGGGTGCCGAGCTTGCAGGGCAGTGTGGGTTGGAAGGCCACCCGGACCAGGCACCTCTGCCAGGGGCAGTGGGCTGTGAGCACCAGGGCGGGTGGCCTTGCTGGGCCCTGGGCCCCCCTCAAGGCTGCGCACGGATCATGGTCCTCCCTGACCACTGCGCCAGGAGGGGGCGCTTCGAGGAATCCCAGCCTCCCACAGGCTGTGGGGTCCCCGACTGGAGGGCTGAGGGCGTTGCCCTGCACTGGCCAGGACCTCACCTGCTGCCCACAGGGTGAGCCTGATGCTGGCCTGACCCTGGTGCAGCCCCGCTCACCTTTCCAGGCAGCACGGTTCCCACCAAGGGGGAGATGGTGATGGGCGCGTCCTCAGGCGGCAGGAACTCGAAAGACGTTGGCCCCCCTGGGCAGAGGTCCCCCCGGCCGACAGCATGGGCCAGTGAGCTCGTGGTCAGGTGGGAGTTGGCGACATACAGCAAGGCCACCGAGGTGTCACACAGAGCAGTGGCCGCAAACTTGATCTGGTAGTGGGACAGCTCCAGGGGCGGGTGGACACCCACAGCATGGCAGGACAGCTTGAAGCACCTGCAAGGGAACAGGTGATGGCGCTTGGCCATGCGGGGGCCCTCGGAGGCCACGGGGAGGCACAGCCCTGGTGCCTGGGGCACACGGCTCCAGCTGCCAGCCTTGCTCTGAGAATACATGCAGCCCTGTGCAGTTTTGATGGGCACGAAAACATTAACTGGAAGCTTAGACAGTTGCAAAGGAGGGAATTCTGGGTTATTATGCTAGATATTTATTGACATTTAAAAATGACAAATGATAAATCACTTTTAAAATATAAGCAGGGAGTTTTATACCATCACAAATTGAGTCCTGGCACCATCCATTATAAAAAGAGAACAGATGTTTGGCATTTTAACTGTTGGAAACTTATTTATTTTGGATTTTAAAATTTATCTTTGGTTCTTTGGAGACAGGGTCTCGCTATGTAGCCCAGGCTGGTCTTGAACTCATGACGATTCTCCTGCCTCAGCTTCTCGAGTGCTAGGATTACAGGCATGCACTGCACCACCATGCCCAGCTATTTTGGATGTTTTTGGAGGCAGGGTCTTGCTATGTAGCTCAGGCTGTCCTTGAACTGTCGGTGATTTTCCTGCCTCAGCCTCTCCAGCACTGAGATTACAGGGATGTGCCACCATGTTCTACTTTGGAAATTTTATATTCCATATTTTTCTTGAATTCCTGCCCTTTCCTCATCAGCTTTTTTTTTTTTGGTACCGGGGATCGAACTTGGGTCCTTCTGCTTGCAAGGCATGTGGCGGAACCACTGAGCTAAATCCCCAGCCCCCTCATCAATTTTATCCTAATTACATTTGTGTGTGTGTGTGTGTGTGTGTGTGTGTGTGTGTGTGTTTGTGGTATTGGGGACTGAACCTAGGGCCTCATACACGCAAGGCAAGTGCTCTACCACTGAGTTACATCTTCAGGTCTAATTACATGTATTGTTTTATGCTTTTTTTTCAATACTGGGGATGGATCCGGGGCCTTTGCACTGAGCTGTATCCCCGGTCCTTTTTTTCTGGTACTGGGGATGGAACTCAGGACCTTGTGCTTGCCAGGCAGGTGCGGCACCACTGAGCTGCATCCCCGGCCCTCCCAGCCCTTTTCAAATTTTATTTTTTATTTTGAGACAGGGTCGCACTGAACAGCTGAGTTGCCCAGGCTGGGCTTCAACTTGCAGTGTTCCTGCCTCAGCCTCCCAGAGTGCTGGGGCAACAGGTGTGCAGCACTGCGCTTGGCTTGATTTAGGCTTTAAAGGGTGATCCCAGTGCCCTTCCTACCTGTCTATTGGAAGGTCCGACCCGGTGTTGAGATGTTGGCATTCCTTATCTCTACCCCGGGGCAGAGGCTCTCTCTGGGGAGACACTGCAGGTGACCACCCTCACTCCTGAGAACTGGAAATGTGTGCAGCGCGACAGTCATCAGATGTCACGTGTCAACTCAGCCTGATCCGCTTCTAAGCACCACAGATCTGTATTTCCGGGCTAGTTCAGGGTCTCTGGTGGCCTGGGGTTCACCTTTCTATGGCTGCTGAGTGTCACTCTCACCAATTCCTCTTCTCCATAGGTCTAAAATGCACATGGTGACTCACCTTCCAACTGATTTTTTATTTTTTTTGAGAGGGGGGGTCTCACTATGTTTCTCAAGCTGGTCTCCAACTTCTGGGCTCAAGAGATCCTCCTGCGTCTGCCTCTCTAGTAGGAGGGAACATAGTTGTGCACCAGCTGCACCTCTTTTTCTTCAGTGCTGGGGATGGAAGCAGCACCTCTTACCTGCTGCACATGTGCTCTGCCTCTGAGCTGCAATCCCAGCCCTTTGTATTTAAGACAGGGTCTCACTAAATAGCTCAGGCTGCCTCAGCCTTAGGGATGCCAGGATCACAGGGACACGCCAACCCCTCACCTGGCACTCCAACATCCATTCAGAGAGCCTGGCTCTGGCTGCTCGAGGGGGTCCCTCTTTGTCTCTGTGGCCCCCGGGCCTATCAGAGACATCAGGTGCTGCCATCATGACGCTGGAGGCCATGGGTTCGCCTGGGGCCTTGAGACCTTCCTGGCATCTGTGACATCGCTCGGCACCCCGGGCTTTTGCTGGTGGCCAGCGCCTGCTTGGAGACCTTCCTGACGCCCGCTGCTCCTGGCCCGGCTGTGCTGCTTGCCGGGCACTGCTCCTCGCTGCGGTGCAGGTGTTTTCCGGCCTGTGTGGCTCTCAGACCAGCATGGCTGTTCTCTGCTGTTTGGAGGAATCGTCGGTGGAACCATTTCCATTTGGGACGGGATTGGGAGCTTCCATTGCTGGGGGCTCGTGAACCCCGAATTCCTTTTTCTTCAGAGTTGTTCAGCTCTCCAGAGGTTCACCTGCTGTTGTGTCAGTTTTGATGATCGCGGACGTGGGGAATTTTTCTCTCCCAGCCAAGCCGTCAGGTTTTCTCTTTCTTGCGGCCCAGGCTAGGTCCTCTCCGATATCGATTGTGTTTTTCTCTTTACCTTGACTGGCCTTGCTAGGAGTAATGTTTAACTGATTTTTTTCTTTACAAAAAAAGACTTTCAATGAAACATTGATTTCTTTTTTTGTTTTTGTTTTGTTTTTTTGAGACAGGGTCTCGTTATATGGTTCAGGCTGACCTTGAACTATGTGTTCTAGGCTGGCCTCGAATTCATGGCAATCTTCCTGCCTCAGTCTCCCGAGTGCTGAGATTCCAGGCATGTGCTACTACGCCTGGCTTCTCACTGCTTTTGATGGGTCACAGGCATTCAAATTTAACACTTCCCACGTGGGGCCCTTCGGTGTGCAGTGAGGATGGGAGATGAGCAGAAGGCAGACCCCGCGTGGAGGCAGGGTGACCACGCCCCCTGCCCCCTGCTGCCTGGTTCTGCTGCTCAGCCCTCGGAGTCCCACAGCCTGCAGAGCACGCGGCGCCAGGCACACAGCTCGGTTTATCAGACTCCTAAGTGTGCACGCGCACACACGTGTGTGGAGGAGCAGAGGGTGCGTGAGAGGCTCCTGCAGTGTGGAAGGACCAGCTCTGGTGGGGAGGGGAGCAAAGGTGATGCCTGCTCTGGGCCAAAGGTCTGTTTCCGTGACAGAGAAATTGAGGTAGACATGGTTAGACTGGAGGCCGATTTGGTGGAGGGGGACAGACTGAAGGGATGCAGATGCAGGAGCTCAGCCCTGCACGGCTGCCCATGCCTGCAGGGTTTTGCAATTCCAGCTCATGGGTAGTTTTCATACAATGAAGCACACAGTCTCAGCCAATGCTTGTGGAAACTCCACTCCTTGTCTCCAGGGGTGAACAGAGCCAGAACCAGCCTCTCTCCTGGGCTCGGGACCGACCCCAGACCTGAAGTCTGCGAGGCAGGCAGGGTGCACTGTCTGCCAAGGTGGCTCTGCTTGCACACTCCGTCCTCTGTCCATGGAGCACTGGCCTGGCAGCCCCAGATGCAGGTCGGGCCAGGGTGAGAGGGGCAGGCCAGGCTGGGGCCTCTGCTCCAACATCACCCCCAGAACCCCAGCCCCACCATGCTCAGCTGCTGTCTGCCCCACCCCCCGGCCCCCTCTGGTCCTGATCCCAGGCCCAGGGGTGGAGACTTAGCTGTCACAGTGTGCATCCTAAGGGCCCTGTGTATGCACCTCACACGGGAACACCTGCATGCACACTCGGACAATGGCAAGGGCCTTCATGGCCACACACATGCCCGCTCACAAAGCAGCTCACCCGCTCACACGTGCAGACACACGCATGTTCACCACAGACACTGCGCTGGCACACGCCATGCTGTGTCCTCGGCCTCGCCCACTCACTCACGGGCTGTGCAAGGTGGAGGGCCCCGCTGCCACAGCTCACCGGTTTATCTCAGACCTGCAGACCAGCTCGAAGCTGTACTCCCTGGCCTTGGTGGGCTGGAAGAGCACATCAAGCTGCAGCGTCTCTAGCGGCAGGATCGTCCCGAAGCCGTCGTTGGGCTGGATGTCTACAAACTGGGCAGCGAGCAGAGTGGGTGGCAGGTGTGTGGGAGTGGGTGCTCATGCGTGAGTGGGTCACTCGGGTGGGTGAGGTGGAGCTGGGGTCGGGGTGGGGCCACCTGGGAAGCCTGGGGCCCTGGGCAGGAACACTCAGGTGCTCCCTCAGCAGGAGGAGAAGTGGAAAGATGAGGACCCAGGGGTGGCGGGGTGTGCGGGCAGGAGGGCCACGGTGCCCTGGCCCCGGGCGACCCCAGGTGACCCCAGCCGGTACCTTGGGGAGCCCCACGAACCCAAACTCCTGGGGCAGCAGCGAGTGGTTGCAGAGGCTGATGCTGGCCCTGATGGCCTCATAGATGGTGCAGTAGCCAAAGTCCAGCGTGGAGGGGCGGAGCTCCAGGTCCGACGTGGTGACGATGGCGTGGACCGTGAAACCCACCGGCTTGGTCTGAGTGTGGAGGGCAGAGCACATTCCCCGTCCTGACCAGGAAGGCGTGGCCACGGCACAGTTTCCAGGCCCAGCCTCCTCTACCGCTCCCGGGGTACAACTCGAGGTCTTGTTTCTTCCCCACCTCGTGGGCTGCGGGGGCCGAGCTGCCTGCCACCCATCTGGCCCTGGACACGGGGCAGGCCCTCCCTCTCCGGGCCTCCCAGAAGCAGCCCTGGGACCTGGGAGGAGGCCGCACTGACCTGGTCAGCCACCCAAATTGTCATCGGGGCCTTCAGCACGCGGGTGTCCTTGTCAAAATAATTCCCGGCGTCTTCTGGGAGTGACTGTCTGCAGAGTGGGGCAGACTGAATGCACTTTCCCTCTTCTACTTTGCAAAACGACAGTAAGGTGGCTGGCTAGGGGTGCTTCCAAATCCCGAGAGTGCCGGGTGGTGGGGTCCACACCGCGGCAGCTCCTGTCACCATGTGGAACCAGGGCTGCATAGGCCTGAGATGCACCGGCCCTGTAGGGAGCGACTGCCCCGGAGTGACGTGGGTGTGGAGGACTGTGATGGGGACTGGGTCTGAACAGTGGCACTGAAAGGAGCAGAGGTCAACCCAACAGCTGGGAGCCTGTTGCTTAAAGGAGACTCACAGGTCCCTGCAAAAGTCACACTGAAACAGTTTGCTCTGATTCCAAAGGAAGTGAGTGTCATTATAGGAATATCAGAAAACGCAAGTAAGAAAGAAAAACCCTCTGCACAACGCTGAGCAGCCAGGGGCATGGCCAGACTGGGAAGGCAGGTCCCCATCTCCCTGGCACCCACGTGGTCCCAGCCCCAGCGCTGGACTCAGGGCAGGGCACCAGCTCCATCCCCGGAAAACAGGCAGAGGGGTTAAAAGCAGGGCTGCGGCCCCCACGCACTGGAAAGCTGGCACAAATGTTCCCGAGCCCATCTGGCAGAGGACAGAGGCCGGAGGCCACAGGAAGCCCAGACCCCTGCCGTGTAGACACTTCTGGGAACTGCCTAGGGAAGAAACCGCCAGGGCAAGGGGACAGGGAGACACAGGGGACCCAGGGATGGAGCAGAGACAAACTTCAAGGGTGTGCAGAGCTGGCCCCCAACCTCAGGCTGTGGACAGAGGGGTCACAGTGTCACCAGGGTGGCACAGCAGACAGCAGGAAGCTGGCCAGCCAGCTGGGCCCCACTGGGTACTGCACCCCATGGCCAACCACCCCGACACTGCGTGCCCCAGGTGCCCCCCGAGTGCGATCAGCACCTGCCACTCACCGGGGCAGGAACTTGAGCTGCACGGAGCAGGACGCCAGGGGCTGGATGCAGCCTGACTCGGGCAGCAGCTCCAGGTGGCCTCTCAGCTCCTTGCACACCTCGAACCGCAGGCGCAGGGCCACCTTCGACCTGCAGGCAGAGCCAGGGCACCAGTGAGGGCCACAGGACTGCGCCTGCCAGTGCCTGGTCCTTTCAGTCGTTAACTGCTCGTCGATGGCCACGGTGTCCCACACCTGTTGTCCCGGCCCTCAGGAGTCAGGCAGGAGGAATCCAAGTTTGAGAGCACCCTGGGGAGCAGCCAGGTGAAGAGAGGCCGGGACCACACAGTGAGACCGTCTCAAAAAGCGGCACTGACTTCTAAGGTGGAGCCAGCAACAGGGATCGGCACACACCCAGTCCAAGCCAAGCAGGGGCCCTGATGGCTGCAGAAGCCAGAAAGCTGCTTCCCATGGACTGGTTTTTCTGACAGGAAATCTGAGGAGAAAGTCTTAAATAAAAATAACTACACTGGAGGGCTGGGGATTTAGCTCAGTGGTTCTGCTGCCTGCCTCACAAGTGCAAGGTCCCAAATTCGATCCGCGGTACCAAAAGAAAAACAACAACAACAAAATAACTACACTGCAAGTGAAATACGGCCCCGCCAGTTCCCAGAGATCCTGCCAGGGAGCTGCAGGTGCAGGTCTGGGGTTGACACTGGCCCCCTCCTTCCATTCTGCCTCCCCTGCCTGGTAGGTCCTGATGGCCGGGCTTCTGCTGATGACCTGAACTCCCACACGAGGCCAGCAGAGGGAGCCAGAAGGGCTCTAGATACTTGCCTAGAGGTTTGTTGCTGCCCCAGGGCCCTTGCTGCTTTCCCACGCACCCACGCACTGCGGGCAGCTGACACCCTGCTAAGTCAGCCATTGCCACAGCCCCACTCTTTTGTCCCCTAGGAGGACGCACCCTCAGGTACCCTGAGGGGAAGCTGTTCCCTGGTCCTCCCAGAAGGCATAGCCAATGGTTCCAGAACAGGCTAGAACCTTCTGGTGCCTCTTTGAGTGCTGTGAATGACCCTTATCTGTCTCATGCTTTTCCAGGGTCTGTGGCCCAGGGCCTCCCAGATGTCTGCCCTGAGGGCCAACTCCACAACGACCATGCAGAGGTGGTGGCCATGTTCGTGCTGTGGATGCTGTAGGTAGAAGCTTCTCTGTCATCTTGACTGGCTCAGAGCCACCCGGGGGTGTCTGGGTGGTACAGGAGGCCTGGCTTGAGTACCGTTTGTGGTTCCTGGTGCCCTCCTCTGTGGTGCTGTCCCCTGCTCTGCCTCCTGGCCACCCTGAACAGAACACCTTTGCTCTGCCAGGCCCTTTGCCATGTGGCTCCAGCCTTGCCAGCAGCTGACCATGGACTGGATCCCCTGAACCATGGGCCAAACCATATCTCTCCATGTTTTCTTTTGGTACCGGGGATCGAACTCGGGACCTTGTGCTTGCCAGGCAGGTGCGGTGCCACTCAACTAAATCCCTAGCCCACCACCTTTCCACTTTCAAGTCTCAGTGTTGGATGTTGGGTCCCAGCAAGAGGAACGGTGACTAATCCAGACATGAGGGAAGTGACCGCACTTCAGGAGAGGCACAGCTGTGCTGACCTCGGGCAGTCTGTGAGGGAGCCCAAGACAGGAGCCAAAGGAAGGCCCTCTCCACTCTCGAGCGTGTCAGAGCCTGGGCCACTGGAGCTGTGGGGGTCCTATCTCCACCTACTGCAGCGGCGGTCCACACCATGGCCCCAGGCCCCAGGCCCCAGTAGAAGATGGCTGCGTGGGGTGTTCAGGGACCGTGCCACCCCCACTGCACAGCTGGCCAGGGCCCCTGTTGCCTACACTGGGCGCTGGTCTTGGGCACAAACACGGCAAGGGGTCTTCATGAAGTAGCACCTTTCCTAGCCATGCAGCTCAAACCCACCAAATTACACAAAACTATGGATGGCTGATAATGGATTTTCAAAAAAATCACTACACAGCCAGATATGGTGGCAGATGCCTCGAATCCTAGCTACTAAGGAGGCGGAGGCAGGAGGATCACAAGTTTGAGCACAACTTAGCGAGACTCTCTCTCAAAGTAAAATATAAGAAAGGCTGGGGATGTAGCTGAGTGTGAAGCCCTGGGGTCAATCCCCAATGCCACACACACACTCATGCTAAAAAGTGTGTACCTTGGGTGAAGTGACAGCAAAATTCCCCATGGCCCCTCCTTTTCTCCCACACGACCCGGAAGCACTTTGCATTCTGAGATAAACCCTGTGCAACCCTGGTCCCCCAAACAGACCTGCTAAGCACCCCCCCACTGTGGATGGAACAGCTCCGCATGCAGTGGCAGTGCCTGCCAAGGTGCTGGTCCCCGTGAGGAGTCCCAGGTGCGCATAGGCTGCCTCTCCATGGGGTGCGACCTGGCAGGACAACCTGCCCCTGGGGACCTCTGCCCGGTGCTGGCTGCCTGTGGGCCAGGGGACACCGGAGGCCCAGTGTCAGCAGTGTCCTGTCCTGTGGGCCGTGCGCTGGTGATGCACAGGGGCCCGAGCTGCGGAGCCTCTGCCTTGGACCGACCCAGTGCTCACAGAGTCGGACTGCAGGGAGACTTCTGCCTGACGCTTGGGCACCCAGTGCCCTGTGCGTGGACAGCTAACCGACACAGAGCTGACAGCACGCGTCACCCTTGCAGGTGTGGCCCTGCCCAGACACAGGCCCAGCCCTGCCCTCCCAGCGTCTGGAGGCTGCGTGTCCCTTGGCGTGTGCCTGCCCTCCATCCCACACCCTCTGGTCCCCTGCAACCGTGTTGAAGGACAGGGCTCCTGGGTGCGCGGCCTCCCCCTGCAAGGCCTCAGCCCACAGCTCTGCCCGGGACTGTCCTCTGGCCGCCAGGGCTCACCGTGTGTGCATGAGCACGGAGTCCTGGTACAGCCGGTCGTACATGCAGATCTTGAGGTCCACGATTGGCTTGGGCACCCACAGCGGCACGTCTACCACCACACCCGTAGCTCTGAAATACAGCTGGAGTGGACATGTGAAAGTCAGCACGGCCCCTGCAAAGCAGTGAAGCCCCATGGGCTGACTTTTGTAACTCATAAGTGCTAGAGAGTTGGTTAGTAAAAAAAGATGTGTTTTGTTGTTGTTGTGTTTTTTGGTACCGGTGATCGAACTTGGGTCATTGAGGTTGCAAGGCAGGTGATGGAACCACTGAGCTAAATCCCTGGCCCTAAAGATATGTATTTCATATCACTGTCATTTGGGGGTATTGGGGTCCCTTACACTGAGCTACACCAGCAGCCCTTTTTCTTTCTTATTTGGAGACAGAGTCCTGCTAAATGGCCCAGGCTGGAATCCAGCTTGAGATTACCCTGCCTCAGCCTCCCTGGTAGCTGCAGTGATAGGTGCCCAGCCATATCATTATCACTAAAACGTTCTTTACATCAAAGTTTCCAAACATTAAAAACAGAGCAAAACACTGGAACTCCACGGACCAAACACCACAGTGCCCACAGCACCATGGGACTCTGTGGCATTAAGATCGGGACTGCCACATAATGAAGGGGAAAAGCAGGACCGTGATCGAATCGGTCAGTGAGGCCACTGGGCACAGGGCAGAGCACAGAAACAAACCCTGGACCGGCGGGCGGGACTGCTATCCCGGCCTCATGCACACTGGCTTCTCCCAGGAAGGGCAGAGGCGGCGAGGCCGGGATGACAGCTGGAGACCGAGGGGTCTGGAAGGAGGGACTCAGATGGCAAAGGGCGAGGCCCAGAGAGGTGCAGCGAAGGTGGAGGGGCGTCCTGCAGTGGATGTAGGGAGACGGAGCCCGGAGCCCGGGAGATACTTTCTGATGGTAATTTACTCAATTAGAAAAAAAGAGGGGCCAGGGATTTAGATTTAGCTCAGTGGTTCCTCCGCCTGCCTCACAAGCACAAGGACCCAAGTAAAAAAAAAAAGGAAGGGCAGGTGTGGTGGTGCATGCGCGGAATCCCAGCACTGAGGGAGGCTGAGGCAGTCAGGTTGTAAATTTGGGCCCACCCTCACTAATTTAGAGACTGAGACCCTGTCAAAAAAACCCCCAAAAAACCAGGGCTCTTAGCTGGGCACCGGCTAACGTACTGAGACCTTGTTTGAAAATAAAGAGGGCTGAGGACGTGGCTCAGTGGCAGAGTGCCCTGGGTTCAATCCCCAGTACGAAAAACAAGAGTCTGTGTGAGCATACATGTGTGCAATGCGTGTGGACGTGGTCCTGCACATGTGTGCATCCCCGTGCATGCACCCGCAGGGGTGTGCTGGTGTGCCCGGGCGTGTGTGGGCACCTTGAGAGCCAGGGCAGCTCCAGCCTGGGCGGGCATGGCACGGCAGCGGCTCACTCACCGTGGGGCACTGCAGGTTCTTGAACACCACCTGGAACCGGGTGTGCACCTCTCCCGGCACGGCCGGTGTGAAGATGATGGGGGCTCTGACCGAGCCGAAGGGCCTGATCTCGCCCTCGGTCACCTGCACAGGCAGGTGGCAGCGGGTCAGCAGATGCTGCGGTCACTCACGCCGCCCACCACCCGTGACTGCCAGCTTCCTACAGGGCTCTGTCCCTGGGTGGCACCCACTGCCCAGGCTCCAGCCTGCCGCCCCTGCACCTGTCCTGGCCATGCAGGCCCCACGGGCAGCATCTTCTCCAGCTGGCCCTGCTGCCCGGCCTGCCTGGCTCAGTGTGGGGACAGGGCTGCTCTGGGTGAGACCATGGGGTTCCCCGGACTGCAGGCCCAGGCTGGCTCCGGGTGGATGGGGCTGAGGAGCGGGGCACCTGCAGCTCTGGCTCCCAGGTGTCAGCGGGGCTGGGCTGACCTCTCCCAGTGTGATCTCCGCCTGGGCCTCACTGGGGCTGGTCACCGTGCCACCGGCTGCAGGTGCACCCTCTGGTTCTGGGAGACAAAGCAGGATGGTAGAAACAAATCCAAAGAATGGGTCACACACAAAACCCCAAAGAAGCAATCAATAAGTCTGGAAATTTTAAAATTAGGAATTCTCACTCAAGAAGAGATGCCTTAGCTGGGTGTGGTGGTGCACGCCTGTAATCCCAGCACTCTGGGAGGCTGAAGCAGGAGAAATAGAGATTTGATCCCAAACTGGGAACTTTAGCAACTTTATGAGAACTTTTCTCAAAATAAAGAATAAAAGGCTTCCTGGACAGGCCACTGCCACCTGTAGCTGTATGGACCCTTAGAGGTGGGGCCCTCTAGGCACAGCCAGGCCCATGGAGCTTGGTGTCTGGGGAAATCCGGGTTTCCAGGCTTCCCTCACAGCACTGGCTGCATGTTGCCACTGAGCACTTGACACATGGTGTGTGAGAAGGAGGAAGCAGGTGGCTATTTCTGAGGTTGAAGTCTTTAAATTTGAGAAGCCAGATGTGGCAAGCCAGCCCAGAGCCTGGCCAGACTGATGGGACCCAGCCCGGTGTTCTCTGTACCTCCTGCCCAGCCAGGAGCTTACAGAGGTGCGTGGGGCCTGGGGTGGCACTGGCACCAGGGCTCTGGCTGGCAAGGGGGCCCTGGTGGGAGGCTCTTCACAGGGAAGCCCATTCAGAGAGGCTAAGACTGGGCAGCTGTGCTTGCCTTGAAGTCACACAGACCCGAGGCTCTGCAGAGCAGCAGGAAGGGCATGACAAGCAGACAGCACCACAGTGCAGGGGCTGCTGGGGCTGCAGCCACGCCTCACTGTCCTTGCATGCCATCCACACCTACACACCGCCATGGCAACCACAGGGGCGTAGGCCATAGCCTCTGCCCGCCCTCGGAACGACGCCCTCGCTCCCCACGGCCGGCCTGGGGTCTGAAGCCGAGGCTCTCTCAGTCTTGTGAGCTTCACCTGGATGCCAGTTTCAACCCACTGCGCAGCCAGTGCTTTCTGAGTGTATGAGTGTCTTCCTGTTTGGTGTCACCTGAAACTGAAGTCCTGAGAAGCCTGGGGCTCTGGCACCCTTCCCAGCCCCCTCTGGCAGGTGGGGTGGCCCCGGGACCCAGGTCCCTGCTCCCAAACTGGGCTCTGACCCTCAGACTTCTCCGAGTCCTTCTGGCTCTGGGTGTCTGGCAGGGAGGACGTGCCAGCCTCCAGCGGAGTCTCGGACACGTCGGGCGCCGCCCTCTCATAGAGACTCCTGTCCTCGCAGGTGTGCGGGCTGCTCTGAAAGGGGGTGCGGGGCGTCGGCTCTTCCCGTCCACCGGACGTCCGCTCTGGGCCCAGCCCGCCTCCTTCCTCCTTGTCCGGCCTGTGGGTCCTCTGGGGATGCCTCATATGGGCGGTGGCCCTGCTGGCCCTGGCACGTCCCATCGCCGTGCATGCGAGGGGACAGTGTCCTGCTGGCGCCGAGGCCGATGGCCACAGAGGTCCCCGGGGGCGGCTCTGGGGCTCTGGCTGATGTCAGGCTCACCCTTCCTCCCTCTCCGGCTGCCCCGGGCCAGAGCCCCGCACTCGCATCCGGCTGGCAGGAACCAGGGCTGCTGGCCAGAGCGGGCGGGACACTCACCAGCTTCAGGACAGACTGGGACTCCTCCAGCTCGCAGGCCTTGGGGGCCGGGAGAAACCGGAACCTGGTGCCCAGCGCCCCAGTGTTGGTCAGCGTGATGGTCCGGGACGTGGTCTGTCCCACCACGTGAGTGCCGAAGCAGATGAGCTCCTTGTCCAGGGACAGCTGCCAAAGGACAGCAGACTGAGCTGGGTGCCACCGTGCCCAGCTCAGTGCCCAACATCAGGGCAGCTCGCCGCTGTCGCCGTGGCCCGGGGATCCAACGCAAGGCAAGGTCACCTGTCCTGATTGTCACCTGAGCCTGCAGGTGTGCCTGCATCTGGCTCCAGCTGCTGCAAACGTGTGCGAGCTGCATACTGCACGCCGGAAGGCGTAGATTGGTGCCCTGACCATGACATCTGGGGTCCCCATTGTGATTTTAAGACGGTTGAGCCAGCAGCTGCCTCATCCAGGGACGACTGGGGTGGGGGTGGGGTGGCCACTGGGGGTCAGCGGTGCTGTGATGCAGGCCGTTCCCTCGGAGTGGGGTGAGGGCTCCGGGCTGCAGACCCCGTGTGTGGGTGAGAGGCGCAGCTCCTTTGCACACAGCCCATGAGGCTGTCCTGGGCGCTGGTGAGGCCGGGCTCCCCACTCCCTGCTGCTGAGGCGAGCAGCCAAGCTTCCCGGAGACCAGGACCAACCGTGACCCCGTGGGCTCCCCCTTGGACACTGTGACGATGACAGAGACACGGGGCTTGCATTCCCAGGTCTTCCTGGGCCTCTCCCTGCCTCTCTGTACCCCAGATCCTCCGGGGCACTGGCCCCAAGGCACACAGTGCCGTCAGGTCAGCAATGGTCTCCCTGAGCCACAGGAACTCAGTGTCCAGTTCACAGGAAACACAGGGGCCCAGGGAACCACAGGCAGCAGCGACCACACAAATCCAGAGCGTCCCGGAGAGAACCGGCCGGCCAAGCTCGTGGGCAAAGGGAGGCTGGTGGGGTGGGAGGCCGCTGTCCTGGTCACCAGAGGCCCGTGAACATGAACGTCACGCCCCTCAGTGGCAGCCTGGCCTCCAAAGTGACCATCACCAAAGGCAGCTGGGGACAGCGGGAGACGCAGAGGCCTGGCCTCAGGAAACAGTTGGGAATGTTGTTACTTCTGTTCCTGCCGCCTCCTTCCTGGCGGCCTGGAGCTGGGCTCCCTGACCCCAGTGCTGGGCCTGGACGTGGACTCGCGGTGGCCAGTGAGTCTCTGGGAGCTGTGGAATCTATTTGGCTAGTGGCCTTGACTTCTGGGTTCCATCACCCTCCACAAGAAGCTCATGCCTCAAGGCCCAGAGCCCTGACTACCAAGCCCCTGAGCACCCCAGCCTGGGTCCAAACCTTGCTGCCACCGAAAGCTGTGGAGTTAGGAGTTGTTTGTCGTGCAGCCTCTTTGTGGTGTGAGGCAGTGACGAGTGAGTCCTGCACTTAGTGGAGAGGGGGGGCCAGGCCAGGGTGGGGTGCTGAGGGTTAGGGTGGAAGTGGGTTGGCAAAACTGCCAGTGGAGAGTGGAGGCTCCGTGGCAGACCTGACCACCTCAGGTGACAGGAGTGGGCCTGTGGGGATTCCCCGTGCCTTTCTCCTGCTGGTCATTATGTCTAAAAATTGCCTCAACCACAGTGAAAGCACCAGGCTGCACACCCAGGGCTACAGAGTGGATGGGGTCGCAGACCCACATGCACAGGACCAGTCCAGGTCTCCCCGGCGCTGGTCTGCACACCTCACACCCCCGCCCCAGCCCGGCCCCAGCCCTCCAGGGGCACAGCTGTGCCTGGGGTCAGCAGCCAGGAGCCTGGTGAGGCAGGACTTCAACTTACAGAACATTTCTTTGTTGAACATTTCAGTGGGACAGAAAATCCACCCGTCTGAGCCAAAAAGGAGACGTTTCCTTCCAGATCTTGGTTTATCTAGAAACAGAACCCCAGCCACCACAAAAGCCTGTGACGTGACCAGAGCCCATGTGTGACTGCAGCCTGGGCCCCCAGGGCCCCATAATGCATCCTGGAGGAACCTGGCAGGGCAGGGACAAGCCACCCGCACACAGGGGCGTTGGGGCGGGAGGAGGCCACGCTCACCCCTGCTGGCCGGGGATCAACCCCCAGCCCGCAACCCGCCCCGCATTCCCGAGGGTGCTGTGTTCTGGGACTAAACAGCAAGTGGCCATGGAGTGGCGGTGACTCACCGCGGGCTTGAAGGTGACGAGAGCCTCACAGGACATCCCAGCGGACAAGGGCCCAGGAGGGTCGAAGCTGTGGGAAGTGGGCTAAGTCACGGTGGGGTGGACGCCGGCTGCACACGCCCAGCTGGGCCCCAGGTTCCCTCTCGCCTGCCTGCCTCGGGCACCGCACCCGGCCCAGGCCGTGCACCCAGGAGGCAGGAGATGCTTGCGAAGCACTGGACCTCACCCGGGGCCCAGGATGTCAGGGTTTAATAGCAAGGTGGGGGGCACACAGGCAAAGAGCCCCTTCACACGAGGAGGCTGCAGGGAGCACTGCTGGGTCTGGGCCTCGGCTGAGGGAGAGGGAGCCCCCGAAGAACCCCTGCCAGTGCCTTCCTTTACAATGCTGGGTGCTGCCTCATTTGCCTGCTTTCAAAATGCACCAGCTAGGAGCTGGGGATTTAGCTCAGTGGTTCCGCCGCCTGCCTCAAAAGTGCTTGCAAGGACCCGAGTTCAATCCTTGGTACAAAAGGCACCAGCTAAAAATGTAATATAAAAACTTGCCCCTGACGGGCAAAGTCCCCGAGAAGCCAGGTAGAAGGAAATCCCAAGCTTTTCAGCCGGTGTGTGGCACACGCCTGTAACCCTGGCACTCAGGAGGCTGAGGGAGGAGGATCGCCATGAGTTTGAGGCCAGCCTGGGCTACACAGTGAGCTCAAAGCCGGCCAGAGGCAGGATGGAGCCCTGCTGGGCAGAGGGCCAGGATCCAAGGTGTGAGAGGCCCAGGGAGTGTGGGGTGAACCTAGTGCAGCACAGGGTCAGGCTCACACCACAGAGCCACTGGGCTAGGCCTTGCAGAGACATGAAGCTAAAAGTGTAGAGGACACAAATAGAGAACTACAGACATGGAAAAGAACGAGACGCCATCAAGAAATGCCTGCTCATCTGAAAAGGATGGAATTTTTGGAAAGGAGAAACAGTGCAGCAGGAAGACGCAGCGTCAGCAGCTCTGACAGCTGGTCAGACACAGCTCGGGAGGCAGTGGCTGCTGGCGACACCGCGCACGGGGACAGGGGCAACGGCCAGGGGATGGGGCAGACGGGCCAGGCCGGGGGTGAGCAGGCTGGGACTGATCAGAGCTCCAGGTCAGGAAGCCCCGTGAGGCGGAGAACAGCAGCTGTGGCAGTGGGGCTGCGAGACCCAAGGCCCAGGTCAGGGCAAGCACCTGTGCAGCACCTTTGAGGGGCTCGCACTGGGAGCCGGCGGGCGCAGCCCCAGGTGTGAGGGAAAAGCCTGTCCCCAGGATCCGACTGTGGCTGCCAGGGTGTTGGGGGCCTGGCATAGCGACCCTGGGCTCCAAGCAGTGAGCCTGGGAAATCCCGGGTCCCAGACCTCTATCCCAGCCACACTTGTCCACGTGGGGCTCTGCACAGGAAGGAGTCTGGACACTGCCAGGAGGGGCAGAGGTCCTGTGGCAGACTCGACTGAGTGCCCAAGGGGATAGCGGGTCACGGGTGGCTGGCCCTGCTCAGGGAGAGACCTGGGAACTGCATCGGGAGGGAGGGCACAGATGGGGCACGTCAGGGTCCCGTCCGGCCCAGACTCCATTTTAGAAACTGTGCGGCACACACTAACTGTGAACTCAGAAGCCACACTGGGGCTGCAGAGCTGGAAGTAGAAGAGATGACAAAGCTGCCCTGGAAGGGAAGCCCAGGCACGAGGGGCACAAGACAGGAGGAAAACACAGTGGAGGTGGAGTCGAGATGGAGGAGGAGCCCGCGTTAAGGGGAAGAGAGGGAGAACAGCCAGTGAAGAAGGTGCAACAGGTGCATAAGCGGGGGTTCAACAGAGAGGAAGCAAAAGAGCAGCACAAAGCGCACAGAGCTGCCCGTCCTCCCGTGGTGGGCAGCAGCTGTGGGGGCTGTGAGGTCAGAGGCGACAGGATCCCGTGGCTGGGCGCACGGTCCTGGGCCACACCCCCGGGAAGTTGGGCGACTTGGACAGGAGGACAGGAGCAGCCCTCAGCCCCTGGGAACCCGACTGTGGGGTCCATGCCCAGACCCCAGGGGCCCACCCGCGCCTCACTCCACGCGGATGAAGTCCTGGAGGCTCTGCTCCACGCCCACCAGCTTGCAGTAGTTGAGTGTGTAGGTCGTGCTGACCAGCGTGATCTTCTTCTTGTACACTTTGCCGACATCAAAGTCCTAGAGGGTCGCAGGAGGCCTCAGGATCCCAAGCCTGTGGCAGCCGTGAGCATCCGGCAACACTCGCTGCTGTCTGGTGGTCCCAGGAGGACCCCTGGTTCCCCGCCTTGGGTTTGGCCCCAGGGTGCACGAGGAGCTGGTGAGTGTCACAGGCCACCAGCAGGGGGAGCCAGCAGGGACATCAGGCCACCCATCACCCGGGAGGCCCAGTCTGCCTGGCCTGACCATGCCAATGCCGCCAGGTTTCTAGAGCTCAGAACACTAGGCAAGCAGGCCCACCTTGAAGTGGATGCACTCGGGCTTGCTGTTAAAGGGGCGGCCCTTGAATTCCCGGCCGGACGCCACCTGTTTGTGGACCACCCCGCTGCGCAGCTGCTGCAGCGTGCGGGCCAGGATGTCCTTGTCCATCTTCGTCCCGCCCACAGGCTTGCGGTCCACGTCCTCCTGGGGCACCTGGGGTGCAGACAGACAGAGGCCTGTGCTGCCTCAAGGGCTGGCAGCCACCAGCGGGATGGGGACCCAGCACCTGGAGCCACCATGGCCTTCAGGCCAAGCAGCGAGTCTGCACTCCACTTCGGAAAGAAACCAAAGGAAGCAAGCTGAAATGTTCAAAAGGCAGCAAGTCCTGGGAAATACAGCAGAGGGGAATCTTCCAGATCACGGAGCCAGTGTAAGAAAAGGCAATTTCTCCAGTGGGATCAACGAAAATTGAGCTCTGGGCAGAGGGAAGGAGCCAGGTCCTGACAGCTGTTGGCGGCCAGGACCATGGTGCTGTATGGAGTCACCCGGGCCTGACCGGGGCTGGCACGCGTGGTGCCGGTGCCCAGAGCTCTGGGGTGGGGGCTGCCGGGGCCTGCCCACCTCACCCACCCCTCCCCGCGGGACACGAGTGGGACAGCTGGCCTGGCCAGTCTCTTCCGCGTCCCCAGAACTGGCAGAGCCAAGTGGCATTGCCAGAAGCAGGGGACTGATGTTTACAGAAGCCCAGGGCTGGGTGACAACCCCTGGAGGGACAGACACGGCTGCCACCTGGGCCCAGGACCAGCACTGGGTGGCCGTGTTTGCTGAAAGGCATGGAGGGATGCCCAGCCATCCTTCTCCAGCAAGGCTTCCCTGACGGTGCACAGGGTGACGCCGCCCCTGGCCCTACCAGCCACTCATACCATGTGCGGCTGACCCCAGAGGCCCTGGTGGCGGAGGATTGTGTGGCACACACCAGCTCCCCAAGGCCTCAGTGCGAGAGGAGGTTGGGCTGGGGGAGGCTGTGGTGGGGTGCAGGAGGGTGGGGACGAAGACAGCGGTCACCTGGTACCTCCTATGGTCCTCGTTCCACAGCCCGAGAATCTCTGGCTCAGACAGCATCTCCTCCTCCAGGCTGGTGGCCCCGGGGACGGTCTGCATGGATTCACTAGAGGCTTTCAGCATCAGCAGGGACATGGGCTGCACTGCTGCCTCGCTGGGCTGTAGGGGAGTGGAGCAGGAGGCTGTGCACATGGAGATGTGGCACACGTGGATGCGGCAAGGAGACCACTAAGGGCCCCCAGGAGCTGGGCCTGCGGCAGCCTCGCCTGCTCCCAGTTCCACTGTGCCACAAGGGGATGAAGCCCCGCACCCAGTCGGAACTTTCTCCACTTAAAATAGAACGCGCTCATCTGCACACGACGCTGAATGGCTCCCACCAGCTCAGCAGAGCACACAGATGCCCGTGTCATGGGAGGACGCCTGGTGGGAGGCTGCGCGGTCCCCTCCCCACCTGCTCCTCACCTCAAGTTGTCGCTGGAGACAACTTGGCCCTGCAAGGCCCACACAAACCCAGAGGGCAGCCGTGGTGGCCCCCAGGCCTGTTGGGGCCCAGGTGAGCTAGGCCTGTCCTCCTGGGTCGTCTTAGGAATGGAGGACCCTCCTGCACCCTGGGACCCGCACCCAGGGCAGATGGAGCTGCCGTGGAGGGACGCGGGGGACAGGGAGGCCTCTGTGGGCCAAGAGGGGATGCAGTGAAGGGCAGAGGGCCCCTGGGGCAGACAAGGGTTCTTCAGGGGTGCTGGGGGCCGAGGCCCCCAGAGGGAAATGGCCCTGGTGGTGCCCTGGGGGTGCGCGGCCCTGGCCTTCAGGTGCCCTCCTCCTCCCTCCGGCTGGAAATGTCATGGCTCTGCTCACCTGCGAGTGCCTGGTGGCCGTGGGGGGCGCCTTCCCTTCACAGAAGGCAGAGGTGTGGCTCCGGGCCCGGCCCCTCAGGGTCTGAAGAGTGGTGGCCTTGGTGGGGGGCTGCTGCCTCTTCCTGCGGTTTTCTTCCACGGCCTCCTCCTTCAGGATCCGGCTGACAATCTCCTGCTTCCGCAGCTTCTGCTCCTCCTTGAAGGCCCTGCAGGAAGTGCCTTTCAGAAGACAGCCGGATGTCTGCAGCCCTGCGGGGGCCACCCAGGTGCCAGGTCTGGGCCCGACCAAAGGGGGCGCTGTGTGCCCAGGGTGACTCCCAGCAGTGCCCGCCAGGGCAAGGACCCCCAGGGAGAAGGCGTGGGGCACTGCGTGTGGACTTAGGGTGGGAGACTCAGCCTCGCTTGGACCCTGGCTCAGGGACCCAGGAAGGCAGGGCCTGGGAGGCAGCACTGAACTCCATCAGGGAGACAGGATGGGGAAGCGTAGGGCAGGCGTGGGCAGCAGCCGCTGCCTGGGGACCAGGGGGCCGAGCAGAGCTGCATTCCAGCCCCACCAAGGCCCCTAGAGGAGGTGGACACAGGCCCTTGCTCCCCAGGGTTTCTGCAGCTGGGGGCAGAGCAAGAGGCAGTGGCCTGGCAGGAGAAAGGGGCCCCCTCCCCAGTCAGGAGGGTCCCGGCCACGGCTGGGCAGAAGGCCACGCAGGGCAGGGGCTGGGAGCCCCCTTCCCCGGCCACAGCCCGTACCGCCTCTGCGCCTCCAGCTCCTGGCGGCGGCGGCACCGGTGGGAGAGGTGCTTGAAGACGTCCCTGCCCTGGGCCCGGACCCCCTGCTGCTCCGCCTGGGCCTGCTGCTCCGCCTGCTGCATCCTTGCCCGGCCCCAGGCTTGAAGCTTCCGCAGCGTCTCCTGCAAACAGGCACCGCTGCAGCCCCGGTGTCTGCGCAGGCCTGTGCAGGGACACACACGTCGGCACGCTCACACACGTGCGCACGCGTGCACACCACACACTCCTACCCGGTTGGCGGTGATGCTGTTCTTCAGCGCCAGCACGGCTTCCATGCGTTGCTGCAGGTGCTCGCGGGACTGCAGCTCCTCCTCCCGCTCCCGCTCCCGCATTCTGGAGGAAGACACACCTTTGACGGGACAGCAGGCCGCGTGCGGGCAGTGGAACAGTGGCCTCGGGTGCTGTGTCCTCCACCAAGAAGCCAGCGAAGGCACCACAGGGAGGCCACGGCCACCCTCTCCCTCCTGGGCTCACTGCGCCTCGAGGCCTTTTCCAAAAACCAACAGCACCTCACAGCTAAAACCAGATTCCCTGGGTCCTGACAGCCTCACAGTAAAAGGGGATTTCAGGACAAAGGCGAGGGACCCACATCCTCAGATCTAGGGGCCAGGACAGCAAGTGAGGTCCAGAGGGGAACCCACCGGCCCAGGGAGGCCTTCAGGAACTTCACCGCCACCTGGTGGTTCCTCTGGGCGTCTTCCACCAGCTTCTGGTGCTGGAGCCCCAGCTCCCTCTGTGTGTGCAAGGGCTTCCTGCAGTGACACAGGCAGGGGTCGGTGGCTCCTGCGCCAGCCTCTCCCCTGGAGGGGCAGCAGTCAGGGCTGCCCGTAGGTGACACAGACAAAACACAAGGTGCTCTGGGACTCGGGGGCCTCCTAAGGGGGGCTGGGGCTGGGAAGGGGCCAGCAGAGGTGGTGCTGCTGGCACACGGGAGAGGAGGACCAGGAGAAAGCAGGCAAGGAGAGGCAGACAGGGCTCGGGCCGAGCTGGGGCAGCCCGATGGAGTGTGCAGAAGCCGGATGTGTGGGACAGGCCTGGGCCGCGGCCCTGGGGACTGGCAGGGACTCAGGGTGCCGGGACAGGCTCAGGCTCAGGCTCAGGCTCAGGGAGGGCAGAGCAGCAGCCAGAGGTGGCTGGAGCCGGGAATGGCCCCTGGGGAGGCGCAGGCTTTGGTGACACTGGCCCTGGTGATGGTGGCTGGAAAAGCCCTGGTACCCAGGAGCCAGCAGATGCAGGGATGGCCTAGTGCTCACCGGACCCGCAGCTGCCAGTTCCTCTCTGCCTTCCCTGAGGCCTCCTCCTCCCTGTGGAGCTGCTGGGCCGCATGCGCCCAGAGGCGCTGGTCCCTGGCCTCCATCCTCTGGCAGCTGGACTTCCGGCTGTCCTCCAGCTGCCCTTTCTCGATCTCAAGGTGCCACATGGCGTTCCTTGAAGACAGGAGGCCGCACGTCAGAGACCAGGGCCTCTGTGGGGCAGTCCTCCTGGGTCTGCCCCTAGGCACCAGGCTGTGACAAGCGCTCCAGGGGTTCCTGGACCCCCATGACGGCTCAGCTCCCTCCAGCAGGCCCCTTGCCCAACGCCTCCCACCCTGGAAAGTCACCATCACACCAACTGCATCTGGGTTGGAACCTGGCACTGCACTGTGTGCCTGTGGGTGCTCACCCGGCCTAGGCCCGGGTCAGCCGACCACAGCAGGCCCCGGTCAGGAAAGCATCAGGGAAGGGGCCTGGACTGTCTTCTGCAGGGCTGAGGGTCCCGGAGCCTCCAACGACACCCCCACTAGTCCTTGGATGTGCTTGGTGTGGGCTCAGAGCCTGGTGGCGGCCAGCCCTGAGCCCTTGGATGACGGGGACCTGCCTGACCTCTGGTCTTGGGCAAATCTGTCCTGGGCGGTGGGTGACACACACAGCGCCTCTGGGGCTGTGGGCACAGGAAGCCCCAGCCTGTCCAGCTGGGCTGCACCTATGGAGCAGCGGGAGGTCGAGGTGCGGCAGCAGGAGCTCCCGTGGCTGGCGGGGAAGGGTCCCCAGGGCAGTGGCTGGCAGCTGAGTGAGGAGCACGCGTGCACTTGGGCTCCAGTCCCTGCGTGCGGGAGGGAAGCGTCTGGGCTGCACTCTGCCTCACTTGCCACGGTAAAGCAAACGCCGCACGCTCAACTAGCACAGCGTTCTCTGCTGGTCCTTAGTCCATGCTCTGAATCACGGTGGGAAGGCTCCCTTTGGTCCCTGCTCTGTTAAAAGTGCTCTTCGTAAATCAAGACTGCAGAGCCAAGGCCGCTCCCTCCTTCTTACTGCAAGTCTGCTGTGCTCCCTGCATGTGACCCCTGCTCTTCTGCAGTGCAGGGGACGGAAGCCAGGGCCCCACTGAGCTTCACCCCAGCCTGCTTTTACCTTTTATTGTGAGACAAGGCCTCGCCAAGTCACTAAGTCGCCCAGGCTGCGCTAGACCTTTGATCCTCCTGCCTCTGCCTCTGAGTGCTGCCTTGCAGGTGTGTGCCCGTGCCCAGTTTGTGGCCCCCTTGACTGGAGCTGCCCTCATCACGGCATACGCAGCTTTCCCCTGGAACGCGCCTACCGTGCGGGCTGCTGATGCCCAGCCGGCTCCTGCTTCCTGGGGGATGAGCCCTAAGAGCCCCAGTGTGTGTGCCTAACATGTGGGCAGAGGCATCTTCGTTTCACAGGATATTCCGCCTCTGTCCTCGGGGAACTTGGTTTATGCTCCCCTCTTCCACGCTGGCCTCGTGATGTTGGCAGTAAGGCTTTAGGGTGCTACGTGAAGTGCGGGCCCATCCTCGCTGGGTAACTTTGTCAAGCCCTCGGCTTCCCCATAGCGAGCGGGGGTCGCTCCTCCCTCCTCGATCTGCTCTCCCTGGTGGTGGCTCCATCCTTCCTGTGCCGGCTGACGTGGTGGTGTTCAGGAGCTTCCGTCCGCCCGCTTGGGATGACTGGGTGCTGCTTCTTCCCGCTCCGTGGTCTCGGTGGGCGGGGTCTCTGTCGGGGGTGGGGGTGGCAGCTGATCCCACTGCTGTGACAACACTGAGACTGGGGATCCAACACCAACCCGAGTTTATTCCTCCAAGTTCCAGACGACCCGGGTCCACGATGGGGGCTCAGCAGGTTCTGGGTCTGGGGAGGTCCCAGCCCATGTGGATGACACCGTCCAGCTGTCCTCAGGGATGGGGAGCGAGGGCAAACTGGCTGCCCTGAGCCCTGTCCTGGGGAACCGATCCTTGTGGCCGCATCATCTCCCAGACCTTCCACTTCCTCGCACCTTCACCAGGGTAAGGCCCCGTGTGGGTTCTGGAGAGACACACGGGCTCACAGGCGGGGCCCAATCCTGCTGAGTGCCACTAGCAACCCTCTCGGATAAGGCTGCTTCCCAGGGGCCTGGAGCCTGGCAACGGCTCCCCGATGCCAGCCCCTCCTCAACACCGCCAGCCCAACGCTGGGATGAGCCAAGGGGGCCCGGCTGGTGTGACCTGGGAGGAAAAGGCACCGCACCAGGGGCTCAGGGCCACTGCGCATCAGCAGAGCCTGGAAGCGTGAGACAGACTCCTTTACAGAGCCAGGTTTTAAATTCCTTTCTTTCTTGGTGTGGTATTGGGGATTGAACCCAGGGCCTTCCCTCTGAGCCCTCTTTTATTTATTTATTTTTATTTTGAGACAGGGTCTCACTGAATCACTATGTTGCCCTGGCTGGACTCACACTTACAAGCCTCCTGCCTCAGCCTCCCAGTGCTGGGATCACATGCATGTGCCACCTCTCCCAGCCAGGTTCTTAATTTCTAAAGCTCTGCCGTAGATTTCTGTCGGATGCTGGTGGTCCCCTGTCGTAGCTGCACAGGCTGTGGGTGTAGCAGGTCGCTGGGCAGCTCTGCATCACTGCTAGTATGCGCTGTAACTTGCCCCAGTCCATCCACAGCTACTCCCTGCCACAACCCCGGCCCCTGGTCCATGCTGGGGTCCTGTGGCACCGAGTTTATAGCTGGGCCAGGTGGCTTTCAGAACCCAGGCCAGGCCTCTGAGCTCAAAAAGTAACAGCCCGTGTGGTGCTGAGCCGCAGTGGGGTCCCCGGGGCCGACGGAGCCATGTGGGTCCTGGGTTTCAGGTGGGGCCTGCCTGCTCTTCCCTGGTGTTCGCCTGCCTGGAAAGGCACTGAGTCCTGCAAGGGTGCCTGGCGGGCAGTGCCTGGAAGGGGGCTGGCAGGGGCCCGGCCCGAGGGACTCACGGGCAGCAGCCAGTGGCAGGAGGCTTGGGGACAGGATCCGGGATGGCGCGGGAACCAGAGGGCTCCTCTGAGCGCTGTGGTGGCCAAGGCCAGAGGGCGTGGCCGAAGCCTCACCCAGTGCCAACCCTCCCTGGGGCACGGGAGGGGCCCAACCCCAGCACCCTGTCTGCTAGGCCCGTGGGCCAGTTCTGATGGGCTGCAGACCCGACCGCCAGTCTCTGTGCTGGGGCTCCCCCTGGTTGACAGCAACAGACTGAAGCCAGAGGACTCTGTCCTCTGCAGGTTGAGGGCCACTTTCTGACCCCGGGCCACAGGAGCAGGCTCACCAGGTCTTCTGGAGGAACAGCGCCTTCTCTTCGGGCGCCTGGTCTGGGAGGTCCGGGCTCCCTCGCAGCTGCGACGCCTGCACTCTGTCTGTGGCCGAGGTCATCCTCATCTTCACGGCCTCGGTGCCTCCTTCCTCCCCAGGACTGGGAATGAAACAGACAGTGGCTGCAGCCCCCACAGTCCATGGCTCACACCACCCAGTTCACCTTCGCCTGCAGCTGCATGTCCCACCGCAGGGGCTGCACTGCGGTTGGGGGAGTTGTTCCCCTCCCCCAAGAGTTACCAGGGTCGCCTGGGGGCAGCAGCATTCTCGTTGTCTGCTCCCAGAGGACATTTCACCTCAAACTCTGGATCCTCTAACTCATCTGTTTCTAGAAATCAAGGCAAGAAGAGTTGAAAAAAAAAAAAAACAGCTGGTCATGGTGGTGGATGCTTGTAATCCTAGCATTCAGGAGGCTGAGGCAGGAAGATCACCGTGAGTTTGAGGCCAGCCTGGGCCACACAATGAGTTCAGAGCCAGCCTGGACTACATGGTGAGATCCTGTCTCAAAAACAAACAACTGACAACAACAACAACAAAAAAGTTTAAAAAAAAACTTCAAATAAACAGCAGATCAAACATTCAAGTCTCAAACTAGGTGGGCTAAAAAGTTCTCAAAGTGGGGTCAGGGAACTGGGGGCCCCAAGACTCCTTCAGGGGTCTCCAGACTAAATCCATGTTCACAGTTGTACGGACATGCGGCCAGCCTTTTCCTATTATTTCCTGTGTGTGTACCAGAGTTGCTGGGGCCTCTTGTTTTCGTTTTTGTTTTCGGTACCCGGGATCAAACTCAGGACCTTGCCCTTGTGAGGCAGGTGGTGGAACCACTGAGCTAAATCCTCAGCACTGGATGCCTCTTGGATACACATGGATCTAGTGAACCAGATGCTATTACTAACAACAGTTCATTATTGCTATTGTATATTAATAAATAGTAAAATATTTTCAGCTTCACTTTTTCACACATTAAATGTGGAAAGACAGATCCAACATACTTAAAACCTCCTTACAGTCTCCAATAATTTTTATTTAAAAAAATTTTTTTTATTTTTTTGGTACTAGGGATCGAACTCGGGTCCTTGTGCTTGTGCAGCAGGCAGCGAAACCACTGAGCTAAATCCCCGGCCCTCCAACAATTTTTAAACCATGCATGGTGGTCCACACTTGTAATCCCAGCACTCTGGGAGGCCGAGGCAGGAGGAATACAAGTTCAAGCCCAGCCTGGGCAATTCAGCAACTTATCAGTGAAACCCTGTCTCAAAATAAACATTCAAAAAGGGCTGGCAAAGGCCCTGGGTTCAATCCCCAGTCCTGGAAAAAATAAAGTAGAGGGGCTCTCGAGAATTGTCTTAGGAAATCATCACAGACTTCCAGCGAAACATGGCGAGTTGTACTACCGGGTTTATTGTCATGTGGCTATTCACTCTCTGTAAAAATGGCCGAAAAGGAGTTCAGGGGCCGGGGATTTAGCTCTGTGGTTCCGCTGCCTGCCTCAAAAGCACAACGACCCAAGTTCAATCCCCGGTACCAAAAAAAAAAAAAAGAAGAAGAAGAAAATCTAAAAGTTTCTAGAAGAAGAAAATAAAAACAGGTCACATTCAAAGGATTGGGCTAAAAATGGCCTCCAGCTTCTCAACAGTGAGGCTGGGAAGTAGAAAACTACTGTGCCTCTTTCAAAGCTCTCAGCCCTCATTTATCCTTCTTTCAACTGAAGACAATAATATCAGCTCCTCGGCTGAGGAAAGATGAACTTAATAGATGCAGTCCCCCTTAATGAAGAGAATTAAAGAGGAGCCTGAGGCCTATCGCTGTCTGCCATGCGGGAGAGAAACATGTGCTCTTTACTACCATCCTCTACCACGTCCTTGTAGGGGAACAGGTCAGCATCTTCCTCCATCCTGGGTGACACAAGTCAGCTGCAAAAAAGCATTACAAAATATAGATCAGCAAGATCACAGATTGAAAAAAAAACCCAAAACTTTGAACTTTGGGCTGGGGATGTAGTTCAGTGGCACCACGCCTGCCTGGCAAGCACAAGGTCTGGTCCTGAGTTTGAGTTTGACCACTGGTTCCGAAAAAAAAATGTTTGGACGTTATAGGAATTCATGATGTCTCATTAAAAGTACATTAAGAAAATGAATAGATAAGCCACACACTAGGGTACCTGTAGTACAGATATCAGACAAAGATCTTGTACCTAGAATATATAGAAAGCTTCTAAATATCAACAATATAAACTCCAAACTAATTTTTTTTTGGTACCGGGGATCAAACTCAGGACCGTGCGCTTGCGAGGCAGGTTTGGTGCCACTGAGCTAAATCCTCGGCCCCCAAATTCTAATTTTATTTATCTATTTATTTTTTGGTACCAGGGATTGAACTTAGGATCTTGCATTTGCGGGGCAGGCGGCAGAACCACTGAGCTAAATCCCTGGCCCCCAGAAGCCTATTTTTACTAGTTCCAACTTGGAAACACTGCAAATATCCATCAATATGAGGATGAGGAACAACTTGTTAGATGTTCATACAAGGGACAATGCTCGGCTGTGAAGCAGGAAGCAGACACAACCACAGGTGAGCCCTGATTGCCCCACATCAAGGAGGCCAGACGGAGCCCCGCGAGGCCTTCAGTGCAGGAGAGACTGGGGGTGAGGCAGGGATCACAGGCAGCAGGGAGGAAGAGCTGTCGGGAACCTGGGGGATGGAAGGAAGGGCTCCGTACTTCACTCAGGGTAGCGGTTACACAGGTGAGTGAGTCTGTCAAAAATGCAGCCAGCTGAACATTAAAGATCCACCCTTCAGATTGCACATGAATGCTATCACGACAGAACATATGGTACCAAGGTTCTATATATATTGAGGAGGCCCTCATTATGTAGCCCAGGCTGGCCTGGAACTCGCAGTGATCCTCCTGCCTCAGCCTCCCAAGTGCTGGGATTACAGGTGTGCGCCCCCACGCCTGGTATTCAGAAATAATTTTTAAGAACTTCGGAATGTTCATCACACCTTGGTTATCATTTGGGGACTGTTAAGAGCTTGCTTGTGTGGACTGGTGGTACAGAGTTTTATATGCCCACATGTTGACGTTAAAGACTTTCACTCAAGAAAGAATGTTAGGGAGGGGCAGGGAAAGGAAAAAAGGGCAAGGAATCAATATGAGAAAAGGAAAAAATGGAAACAAAGTCTCTGTAAATAGGGAGGGATGGAGGGGTTGAAGGGAGGGCAGGGGAAGGGGGAAAAATAAGAACCAAGAGGCATCATGTAAAGGTGCAAATTCCCAGTGATGAATGTCAGCATATTGTATACCTAAAATGTACCAATAAACTTAATGAATAAAAAAAAAGAAAGAAAGAATGTTAAACAGGTAAGCATACCTTCATTAGCTCCTTAATCTGTCTTGTGAAAGGTAAACTGAAGGAATGGCTTTCACTTATTTTCCATTGTCTTAAATATGTGATTGATTTCAATGCCTACTGATTGTGATACCTAACAGCGTGACTCATAATGAAAGGGCGACTGTCGCACGCGGAAGTCAATGTTCCTGTTACACAAACAGCTGTAACCCTGGGAATGGGCCTGGTCACAGCTAGGCCGGAAGTAGTGACAGTGAATGCACGCCAGTGTCACTACGCAAGGGAACTAAAACTGTACAGGAATTTGTTTTTCATTGTTTAATTTAGCAACTGATTCAGAATAATTTACTAAAAATATTTTCAATACCTAATAATGTGTCTTGGATAAATTATTGATAAAATAATGCCAGTGATTTGTTTTTTGTTTCAGTCCCAAGAGGCAGACTCTGAGGCAGGTGCCTCGTGAGGAGTTGACTCAGCTGCCTGGCAGGGTTTCAGGAGAAGCCGGCCACTGCCAGGCCTCGGGCCAGTTCTTGTGGCTCCCGGTGGTGGCTGTTACATAGCTTCCTCGGACGCCCGCTGGGACAGGCTGCTACCAGACTCCTGTGGCCGCTCCCAGCCCAGCTCCTCCTCACTGATGGGAGGGAAAGCCTTTTCTCAGCATAGATCTGTCTCCGAGGACAAAGCCAAAGGGAGACGCAGAGGGATGAGCACGGGTCCCTTGGGGCTTCCCGTGTGGGGAAGGCTCGAGGAAGCAAGCGGCAGACTCCTGGGGCCACACTTGGCTGGGTGCCGCCAGGAAACAATGCAGAGTGCTGCATAAAGTCGCATTTCATTTTCTTAAAAACCCACGAAGAGCTTACCAAACACTGGGAAACTGCCAGGTAGAAATCCAAGTGAAGGCGAGAATATAAATGGCTCAGATGGCCAAGCTCAAGGGAGGCATCTTCTCAAAGGCTATGTGTAAAACACAGCAACAAAAGCCAAATTCTCTATGACTGAGGAGACTGAAGGCCGTGCTTGTGCTGCAGTGTATGTTTAAGCCAGAAAGAGAAGCACTGTGCAGAAACTACAAACAGGGAGCTGGCAGTGCTACCCAGCCGCACGTGAGGCAAATCTGGGGACAGCAGCAGAAGGGCCATGGCCAGCCCAGGGCTCACGCCCAGGGGCCCTGCACACGGAGCACCATGGCTGAGACGCACTCCAGCTCAACCCATAGGAGCCGGGCCCGGCTCAGTCAGTGCAGGAAAGAGTGGCCACAAAATCTGACTTTCCATTCACATTTTGATGAACACAGCAAAGTGGCATTAGAGAAGGTGTCTTTAATGAAGCAAAAAGAGGGCGAGTGGACAGTAACCCGCCACAGGCCCTCTGCTCACTGCTGGGCAGGCCCCTGCACCTCACAGTCTCAGTGGCAGCACTCACTGGAGCCAGGTGTGGGGCCCAGCCCGTGTCCACCCTGGGAAAGGGACAAAGATGTCGGGCTCACCACGTGGTAGAATTTTATTTTATTGGGCCGGGGATTTACCTCAGTGATTCTGCCACCTGCCTGGCAAGCACAAGGACCTGAGTTGGATCCCTGGTACCAAAAGAAAAAAAAGAATTTTATTTTAGTTCTGTTACACAGCGGTGAGTCGTCAGTAAGAGTATTGTACATTTTTGAACTTTCAAGGAAGGAAATTTCAAATGTTCTCCCTGTAAAAGTGCAAACTATTTGAGGTGATAGATATGTTAACTTAGTTATTCTACATTGTGTTCATAAGAATAATGTCACTTTTCGGGGCATGGTGGTGCATGCCTATGATCCCAGCACTTGGGAGGCTGAGCCAAGAGGGTTGCCAGGAGTTTGAAGCCAGCCTGGGCTGCATAGTTCAAGCCCAGCCTGGACTACACAGCGAGACCTTGTCTCAGAAAAACACAAAAAACAAAAACCACAAACCACCTACAACTGAGAACAAGAAACTGGGTGAGCAGCTCAGTGGGAGAGCACTTGCCTAGCATGCCCAAGGTCCTGGTTTTGATGCCCAGCCCTGAAAAAGAAGAAAAAGAGAAGACCAGAACGACAACACTCACTAGAGCCACTGTCAATGTTCACCAGCTTGCCTGCCCAGAGCTATCATCGTACCAGGAAGGCCAAGCTAACGAACAGAAGCGGGAAAGGTCATTATTTTCAGATAAAATGATTACACATGTAGAAAATCCAAATGAATATACGATAAATTATTAAATTATTAAGATAACTTAGCAGTGTTGCTGGATACAATTTCAGTAGTAAAATTCAAGTGTCTTCCTATTTACCAGAACAAATAATGAGAGAATGGAAAAGCTATCATTAGCAAGTCACATCAAAACCACGAGAGAGAGCCGATCCAGCAAAAGACATGCAAATCCCGAGGCGACCAAACACCAAAGGCTGCTGGGCAGCACCAAAGTAGACTTACATAAAAATAAATGGGCTGGGCTGGGGATTCAGCTCAGTAGTTCCACCGCCTGCCCCGCAAGCACAAGGACCTGAGTTCCATCCCCAGTACCAAAAAAATAAATGGGACAAATGACCCAGTTTCCTCAACAAATAAATGTCAGGGGTGGGGAGGGGACAGGAGGGCCATTCAGGTGCAGGGGCCGCTGCCCTGCGGACCTGGGTGAACAGCTCTGCACCCCTGAGCTGGAGTGCAGGAGTTTCCTGGATTTTGCTGCAGTTGAGAATGACTTCGAGGTTGTCACTGAGGAGCCTCTCTCTGAGAGGGGAGCCCCTGAGGGGAGGGTTTGCCTTGGGCTTTTTCTGACCACATCACCCTGAGGTGAACTGGGCAGGGGACAGGGGAGGCAGGGACAGGGGGTCCCCAGTGTAGCAGGATGGTGGGGACCCGGGTTCATAGCACCCTTCTCCCTGCTGTCCTGATGCCGAAATTTTCCACAATAAAAAAAAAGTCTAAACACTCCAAGGAAGTGTGCGATGGGCTGTTGGAGACTCAATGTCAAGATGTCTTCTTTCCATTTTGCTTTAGAGATTCCCTAAGCCCAAGCCGGGGGGTGGGGGGAGGCCGTGTGTGCATACACACATTCGGGAAAAAAAGAAGACGAGAAACCGGTCTGGTGAATTTTAGGGTTCACCTGGAAGCCCAAAGGGAAAGAGCAGAGTTGAAGGGGCACAGGGGAGGCCCCAGGGGCAAGTTCTACCCTAAGTTACAGCACCAAGCAGCGGCGTCCCTGGAGGAGACCACAGGTGACAGAACACACCAGAGAACCAGCCACGCCGTGAGTCACAGGATGGATGCTGCTGGCCCGGCCGGGGTAGGGGAGACCCTGAGCCAGCCACCACGGCGGGTGCTGGAGGGGCACCACGGCCTTGGGATGCTAAGGAGGACACTGACAAGAGCTGAGCGGACGCTAGTGGGGTCCCAGCCTTAGCTGAGAACTTCTGTCCAGGCGACACAGAGGAGAGGAGGCCCAGGGCCCAGAGCAGGACAGGGTCTCAGGCGGGACCTCCAGGGAGGTCCATCCCCACCCCATCCGTGTGCTTTTTGGGAGACTAAGTTGCCAGGCAGGACTCGAACTTTCAGTTCTCCCACTTCAGCCTCCCAGAGTGCACCACACCCAGCTCCAGTATTATTTTAAGCCAGACACATTCCAGCCAGGATGAAGCCACTTCTGTCCTGACTAAGGGCACCGCTCTTTCTGACCCCGTGGCCAAGAGCTAACTAGTCCTGCTGCCGCCCAGCGCCAGGAGGCTGCACTCCTGTGCCATGTCTGGCTCCAGCCTGCTCCCTCTGCATTTCTTTGGCCCCACAGTGCCCGGGGCCCGTCCTCCCACAGGGTCACTTCCTTCTGCAGATGGGGAGAGGACCCCTTCCCTGGCCTTCCACGTCCTAGGCCACTCTCACATCTGCGGACCAGGACCCAGTTATTGCTCCGTGGCCACTGCTGGCTGAGCCCCACTGTGCCAGGGGCACTGGAGCTCGGTCCCCCAAAGGACCTGTGATCACCATGGGCCGTAGAGAGCCCATGCTGCAGTCACTGAGTAGCGGGTGAGTTCTCTGCCTCAGAGCTTCAGGACCTGAGGATGTGACCGCCCGGGGCCGCTGTTGGGCTGACCACGCCCTCGGCCCAGTGCTGTGGTAAAGCACCACCACCAGGGGCTTAAACTGCCGAAACGGGTCCCCCATAGGCCAGTGGGGCCATGCGGCCCCTTCTGGCTGCGGGGAGTTTTCCTCCTGACCTTCATGCGCCCTCTCTGTGTGCAGGTCTGTGTTCTGGTTTCTCTTTTTCGAAGATGCCAGTCACACTGGGTCAGGGGCCCACTCAATGCCAGAATGATCCCATGAGGACTTCAATATAGGAACTTTTGAGGGACCACAGTTCAACTCCTAACACACAAAGGCAAAGGGACATACTGGCCTTGCAGGGCAGCTGTGTCCACCACAGCTGGAAGCAGCCCCAGTGGCTTCAACAGCCCAGTGGCGTGACTTACGGGGAACACAGTACAGCGACGAGGATGCGTGCACTATGGCCAGCTAAGAGCTGGGATGACCTCTAAGATGACAAGAGGGAGGAAGACATGACACCCTGCTCTCCCCTTTCCCTTCCTTCACTCTAAACTGGAGCTGGGCGGGCAGGTGAAGCAGGCTGTGCTGGTCTGTGGTGTCAGAGCCTGCAGGGAGGAGGCAGCCCAGGGAGTGGCATCAGAGCCCGGCCAGGGAGAGCTGGGTGTCCACTGCGAGTCAGCCAGCTCATGCCCGGGAAGAACAACATATCCACAGGCCTCAGAGCACTTCCCAAGAGAATGCGTCTCACCTGCAAGGGAAAAAGCTACTTCTCGGTGGAAGTGCTGGCAGATGCCAAAGAAAGCAGCTATGGCTCAGACCGAGGACGTCCTGCAGAGGCAGTCACTGTGAGTGTGACCTGGAAGGATGCATCTCTACCTCTGGCTCCTCCCTCCTCTGCTTCCAGCTGCCCCCGGGAAGCAGCTGACCTCCACCAGGGCCCTCTGCCATGCCACATTCTGTCTTGGAGCCAGCCAGGCACGAACTGTAGACACGAGGCCAAATATACTCCCTTCCTGAGGGGCCAGGGACTTAGATCAGTGGTGCCGTCACCTGCTGTGCAAGCGCAAGGTCCCCAGTTCAATCCCTGGTACCAAAAAACAAAAAAATAAAAAAAACCTCCCTTCCTTTAAACTGTGGGTGTCAGCTATTCTGTCCCAGTGATGAAGAAAGCGTCTAAGACACAATTTTGGTACCAGGAATGGGTTTATTTTGGTAACTACCTCAACATGTGGTTTAGAAGCCTTTGGAATTGGCAGAGAGGAGTTTGGAAAGGTTTGCAGATGCCAACTAGAGAAACTAAGGTGATTTTGATGGGAGATCCTGGTCGGCGGAGCTCAGAATGTGGACAGTAACAGCTGGTAGGGCCCAGGGCCAGGAGGTTTCAGGTGGAAACAAGGACTTCATTGGCAGCTGGACTCCAGGCCTTGTGTATTAGGCTCTGGTGGAAAACGTATCTACATCTTATTCATGTCCTGAGGCACTGTGGGAGACTGAAATTAAGGGTGACAGACTAATTAATTTGGGGGAGGAAATTTCAAGATGGCCCAACTAAGGCTGTGGTATGGGTACTGTTGGGGGCTTTTAGCCAACTCTACTTTGAGAATCAGGAGCAAATGGCACAGCTGAGTGATTTTTAAAGTTTTCAGCTTTGCCAGAAAGGGAGGGTCTGAAAAGTTAAGAGCAGAGAAGAGCTTGGTTGCTGAAAAGATTAGCATTAAAAAGAAGCCAAGTACTTTGCATCTAGGGAACAGGAAAAATGCCTTGAGTACATCTCAGAAGCCAACAAGATCCCACCCTTTGCAGGCTCAAGGGTCCAAAGTGGAAGACTTTGCTTTGAGAAGAGATCCCCTGAGCACCTTGCTGGAAAAGGGCCACCTGGAAAGTTGGTGATTTGATTCACAGTCCTCAGTCTTCCAGGCACTCAGAGGCCTCTGCACCTGTGATCCAAGGGGTTCTGGCTTCTACCTGAGTGGGTGGCAGATCTTGGAATCACCCACATGGTGCTGGTTTTACACGCATGCAGAATGCAAGAGTTGTGAGGTCAGGGAGGCTTCTATCCTAATATGAAAGGAAGACCTGAGAGGCCAGGCAGTGGGGCCCCGAGAGTGCAGCGTGGGAAGCTGTGAGTGAAGCTGAGGTGCAGGGCAGACTCCACTCCAGGAAGCCAGAGAAGTGGGAACACGAAATGTTCCCTGAGGAGGACTGTACACAGTGAGCAAAGCCAGCCTGAGAGAAGCCCTGAGAGCTGTGACCTGCAGAGGAGGGCCTGCTCCAAGGGTGTGAAGCACACATCTCACCACCACCACCAGCAGCAGCCCTTAGAGATGGGCTAAATGCATTTTGCATAAAGAGATGCACATGAGTCTTTTGGGCGTCAGGGGCCGAATGTTACGGTTTAGACGTAGTTGTCCCTCAAAGGCCTCATGAGCTCATAGATGGGGCTTTGTAAAGTGACTGAGTCATGGGGATGACGCAGCTGACTCCCCAATAGGAGGTGGGGTCTGGCTGGAAGAGTTCACTGGGGGGCGGCAGGGGCCTCTCCTTTCCTGGCTCCTCCTCCTGTCACTGCTTGTTGACCACTAACCAATGGGCAGCACTCCTCCCCTGTGCCCCTCCGCCCTGGTATTCTGCCGTGGGTGGGTGTCGGGTATTTCGGCCCCACAATGAAGAAAGTGACTAAGAGGAAAAACCTACACCTTTCCTGCCAAAGCTGCAGCACAAGAGAATCTGCTGAACACGCGGGAACAGCTGGCAAACCCAGTGGAGGGGCTTTCCACAGAAGCAAGCGGGGGAGCCTCCAAAGTGTCAGACAGGAGAGAGGAGGGAAGGCTGAGGAATGCTCGGACGGGAAGCATCCAAAAACACGCGAGGACAACTCAGGGCAACCGCAGCCTGGCTGGACCCCTTTGCTTTGGGAACCTGTGGGGTCAGCTGGTGGACTGTGCTTTCCAGGGGCTTGGACCAGACAGTGTCGGGTTTTAAAAAATTATTCCTTTCATATAAAGTTTGAAAATAGGCGAAACTTTGTTAGGAATGCATTTCTAGGTAGTAAAATTAAAGAAAAGCAAAGAAATCAGCACCACAAAAAGAGTCCACTGTCAACAGGTGGGAGGGGTCTCGGGTGGCAAAGGGGTCTTGGGCGCGGAGGGGTCGCTTCTTGCAGCAGCCGCTGAGGTCTGCACAGGTGACTCGTGCACCCGGGGGTGCATGGGGTCACCGTTAACGGAGCTCGGACCTGTGAGCACCCCGCCTGCCCCTCCCTCCCCTCTCCCTCCCCCCGCCCCAAGTCCCCTGGAAGCCCCCTGCGGTCTGCACTCCTAGCCCCCGGCAGAGGCCCCGGAGAGAGGCTTCACTGCCCGCCCGCCGCCTCACCCACCTCTCCGTAGCCTTTGGGGACGGCGACTCACAGGCGTCGGCAGCAGCTGCGTGCCCACGCGGTTCCATGGCAACCAACGCTTCCAGCGCGGAGCGGAGCGGGGCCCGCGCAGGCGCAGTCGGCCGTGTTCCGGAACCGGGCAGTGCGAGCTCCGCTGCAGGATAGCGGGTACCCCGGGGGCGGCTCAGTGACCCCGAGCCGGGACAGTTCGTCCCTGGCCGCCTTACGTCTTACTGACCGCCAAAGTAGAGAAACCAGTGTTTGGGGGAGTCGAAATGTCACCGCCGTCGGGCGCGGTTCTCTTCTCCTCGCCCTCGGATCCTGGAGGACCCGACCTGAGCCAGGGGCCCGCCCCCCCCCCCCCGCTCCTCCCCCGCCCAAGTCGCAGTGCTTCTGTGTGTGTGTGTGTGTGTGTGTGTGTGTGTGTTGCTGGGGATGCAGCCCAGGAACTCTACCTCTGAGCTACACCTCTAGTCTTTTTAAAATTTTTTAGTTACTTTGAGACAGGCCTGGCTCAGTTGCCTATGTGGGATGGGAATTGTAGGGCCTCCTGCCTCAGCCTCACTCAGTGCTGGGATCACGGGCATTTGGCACCCTCAGTGGACCATATACCAAGGACGACTGTGAAGAAACCTCAAGTCATTTGCAATAACCCTGGAGTATGAGTCACTTTCCCGTCACTGGGACAAAATACCTGATGCCTATAGCTTAGAGGAGGAGAGGCTTATTTTGGCTCACAATTTCTGGGGGTTCAGTCCATGGTTGCTAGCTCCAAGCAGAAGCTGCATGATCGACTGGCTTGGCGGAGGAAGGGTGCACACCTCGTGGCAGCCTGGAAGAAGAGAGAGAAGGGAGGAGCGGGGAGAAGACACACCTTCCAGGCCATGCCCCAGGGAGCTCCTCCAACCAGCCTGCCTCCCACAGCATGTGCTGCTGTGAACTCATCCCTGGACCCAACTGCCTTTCACACGGGGCTGTGGGGGACTTGGTCATCATATTGGTATTGCTATTCTGGAGTTATATAAAGTGGGATAAAGCAAACGAATAGTCCTGTACTTTCTGCTTCAGAGAAGACACACAAATATAAAATAAGAAAAACTGTGATTTTTGGGTTTGAATGCAAAATTTAGTATGAATTTATTATTATTATTATTTTATTTTATTTATTTTTTTGCAGTGCTGGGGATTGAGTCCAGGGCCTTATCGTGTTAGGCAAGCACTCCACCACTGAGCTACATCTCCAATCCTGGTATTTTTCTTTTAAAATATATTTCTTAGTTCTGTCCCCTGAGAAGGTATACAGTTGTCCAATTGATTACTCAGTAGTTGTTGTGGCTACTTATACTAAATAAAATTAAATACAATATCTGCACAAATACTTGTCCGCTAATATCCACAACAGTATCATTACTATTTGCACTAACCAGTAGAAGTGGCCCGAATGTCCACCAGCCAGGGAGTGGATACATTTGTGTATAGGATGGAATATTCTTCTGTACTAAACCCAATTCCGACCATGCCACAAAATAAATGAATCTTGAAGACTTGACACTGAGTGAAATAAGCCAGCAGCAAAGGGGCAAATGGTGCTTGAATTTACTTAGGGAGAAAGCCAGCCCCGGGAGGGAGCAGGGGCAGCCTCCGGGAGAGCCAGTGGGGAGGAGGGACGAGGAGTTGAGCCTTTCGGGGACCAAGTCTGAGACCCGGCGGGGAGAGTGCATTGTGCCTCTGAACTGCACTCCTAAACAGTCTAACGTGGCACATTTTGTGTTGTGTGTATTTTATCACAATACAGAGTTTCAGTTAAGTAAACCTAAAATCTCGCTCCTCAGTCACTCAGGCCACATTCCAAGTGTCCAGCAGCCTGCGTGGCCAGCAGCTCCTGTCTTCTCTCGGCTGGCACCGGCCTGGCCCACAGCAGTGACCCGCCTCTTGCCCGTCCAGCTCTTCCCAGCCAAACATGCTGGCACCAGATGAGCGGCAGAGGATGAGCAGGACACTGCTGGAACGTCTGCCCGTGAGAAGCCAGAGACCGCCCAGGAGTCCAGTATCGGAGGACGAATCTGCCCATTTGAAGGGCCTCCCACTGGCCAAAATGGCGACTGTTGCGGTATAAAAACAAAATGGCCGTGGATGGACACGTCAAACCAGTTCGTATCCATGGGTTTGGCTTAGAAATTAAAAGCAATGGCCAGCTCTGCTAGGCACTAAGTTACTCTTTCTGGACACTGTGCCCCCCATTGCCCCTTGGGGAAGGACCTGCAGCTAGCGGGGAGGGGCTCAGCCAGCTGCCCACCTCCAGCTACAGGGACCATGGTGGCGTCCGAGCCCTGACCACTGTCCTTTTGGGTGGCTCTGCCAGGACCTGAGGCAGAGCCCTGGGCAGCCGTATCCACAGCAGACTCTCCACTCCCCTGTTAGCATTCCCTGGCCGTCCTGCCTGCACCCTATGTCCCTGTCCAGGGTGGTGTGGGTGCTGAGGTCCGAGGGCTCAGCCAGTCCCTCTCTCAGCTCACGCTTTCATAGGCATGAGCCCCAGCAGGGCCTGCGCATTCCCACTTCCGGCTCATGGTCTGGCTGCTGGACACAAGTTGCCCAGCTGGTACCAGGAACGGCCTGAGAAAGCAGACAGTGAGACGGGGTTTGGACCTGGGTCACTGGATGGCTGCCCAGCAGTGAGGAGCCATCCTGGTGGCACGCAGATGCTGTGCACAGGGCCAGGCACTGGGGGCCTCTGCCATACGACTAGGAGAACACGGCAGGCCTTGGGGGGCCGTGTGGTGCAGGACAGTGACCGGCTGGTACTCAGTGACCGTGACACCTTGAGAAGCCGCCAAACCGTGGAACCTAAGTATGGAGCCCAAGTGCTGTGGTTGCTGAGGAGGCCCCGATTCCCACAGCGGGACAAAGCCAAAGCCCCACCAGAGCGAGGCCACAGGGCTGCAGCTGAGGTGCATGGGGTGGGGTTGGCTGAGGTGCTTGCCAGGCCAGGCCAGGGCCTGAGAGTGAACTGAAGCCCGGCTTGGGGTGTGGACCTCCAGGCAGTGGCCTGCACCTCACTGCCCAGACACTTCTGGGCTCCCGTGTGTGCAGAGGCGGCCCCGCCACTGTGGGGACAGGGATGGTGCAGCTGAGCTCTTCCCAAGATGCTGCCAGGCCCGCGACCAGGGACAAGCTGGGGGCACAGCCTGGGAGTGTGGCTGACAGGAGGCCGCTGAGGTGCACGGAGCTCCTTGCTCGGCTGTCCCAGACCAGAGCGCGGTCACACAGGCTGAGCTGCACATGGCCCGGGAAAGGAACCTGTGACCCTGAGAAGGCGAAGAGCGATGACAGCCACATCCCCACTGCCGGGCTGGTCTCAGCCCACGTGCGAAGGAAGCCCCTACCTCACCCAGAAAGAAAGCAGCCGTGGCACTGATGTTACTTAGTCTGCTTTCTGGGTCCTGCTGTTTCCTCATCCTACCCAGGTTACCTTGCAAAACTGGACCCCCGCCATGCCCTGTGGAACACCTTTTTAAATTTTTGGTTGGGATGCTGCCAGGTGCATGAATTGTGAATAAAAGCCAAATAGGTCTTTAAATTTGTGAGATCTTGCTTTGTGTTTTTTGAGATGGGATCTTACCGTATTACCCAGGCAGGCCTCAAACTCCTGGGCTCCAGTGATCTTCCTGCCTCAGCCTGCTAAGTGGCTGGGACTACAGGTGTGTGCCACTGTGCCCAGCTGAATTTTGTTCTTTAACACCTAGTCCAACATAAACTGGGCCTGATAAAGGAGAAAGGATCACACCAAGGACAGCCACAGGTGTGGGGCCAAGGTGCTTCCCAGGGGCCGGAGCTTAAGACAGGCTGGGTAGAATCATTGGCAGGGTCTCCTCTCAGCATGGGGATGATAAACTCCCCAGCTGGAAAACTTCCAGACTTGGTGAAAACTGCAAACCCACAGACCCAGGAAACTCAGCCTCAGGCAGAGTAAATAAGGGAAGATCACACCAAGACAGAGCAGTCAAATCTACAGAACTGAGAAGTAGAGGGAACCTCTGCAAAACACCTGGAGGAAAGATGCAATTTCACAGCACAGAAACCTCAGCAGACTTCAGGGGGAAACTGGTGAACTGAGAAACTGCTGCAGATGTGGAGAGGAGACGCCAAGCCAGCGGGAGTTCTGGGGCCCAGGCGTCTGTCCAGAGAGGCAAGCTTTTCAGAAGACAGTGGCCCTATGGCGGGCAGGTTGAGCAACAAAGCTGGTGTTCTTTAAGACTTCTTAAAAATGGCAGTGGGTGGTGAGTGAGGAGGGGTAGAGCAATGGCTTCCATGCAAAAGGCTGCAATATACAAGCACCTATGTGCCATAAATGAAGTTACACTTCGACCTCTGGCTCAAAAGAGGAACAGGGACACGTTTACCTCTGGCCTCAAATGCCTAAAAGACTTAAAACAGAGAGGGAGATGGTTCTGAAATTACTGGACACAAGGAACCCAGGATAGGGACCTGAGAGTAGGGAGTGGCGTGGGGAGCCCTTGGGGACCCTATCTTCCAGCCTGGGAGGTTTCCTGGCCACTGTTAGGGGAAAGGGAACGGAGGGCAGCAAACGCTGAGCGGATGGCTTCATCAGGATGAAAAAGATGCTGTTGGGAAAATGACCAGGCTGGTGGGAAATATTTTCAGAACCCACATCTACGGAAGACCAAACCCAGAACTGATAAGCAGCTCTTAGGACTCTGTGATGAGAAGACCAACAATCACATTGCAAAAGACTTGAACAAATGTGGCACCCAAAGAAGACACACAGATAAATAAGCACAGCCAGGGCAGTGTGCACACCTGCGATGCCAGCTGCTCACGGAGGCCAAGGCAGGAAGATCACAAAGCTTGAGGCCACCCTGGGGAACTCAGGGCAACCTTGTCTCAAATAGTTAAAAAGGTCTGGGGTACAGCTCAGTGGCAGAAGGCTTTCCTAGTAGGATTCTATCTCCAGTACTGCAGAATACACACATAAACATTTTTAAAAGCACAGAAAAAGATGCTCAGCATTTTAGTCATTAAGGAAAATGCACAATTCTGCTGCCTGCCTAGCAA